ATATATATATCATGTTGACAGAAGTGACAAGTAGAAAAATAATTATTTCTTGAGATAATGAAATAAAATCGATCTTGATAATTTCAGGTTATCTAAAAAGTGCTATTTTTTTAGATAACCTGAAATCATCAAGATCGATTAAAATAAAAATTAGCACTTTTTAGATAACCTGAAATTATCAAGATCGATTTTATTTCATTATCTCAAGAAATAATTATTTTTCTACTTGTCACTTCTGTCAACATGATATATATATATATATATATATATATATGTATATATGTACAATATCTTACAATGTATTTGCAAAATACAAATTTTTTTTTCCAGTGACACGGACTTTGTATTCTTCAAATATACCTTACCGGGAGAAGGGCACTGCAGCCCTGAGCGAAAACGGAATGGCTGAAAACAAAGTTGATTATGAAGAGCTCTTGAAAGACCAAAAAAATCCTGAAGTCCTGATCGTCGACGTTAGAGAGCCCTCTGAGATACAGGAGACCGGCAAGTTACCAGGAAGCATTAATGTCCCAAGTAGGAGTTTTTTCTTGCATGTGTGTAAACTTTAGAAAGTTTACCATTCATTTCTCAAATGTCACATACAGTGGTTGCCAAAAGTTTCTGGCCAATAAGTAATTTTATTGTATTGAAAATTATTAAATATTAAATATATTGTATTATGTGTAAAATTTTTTTAAATCTTTATTTTAAAATGGGCAATAAAACCTACAATGTTAATACAATTAAAGATTTACTTACAATATGTATCTTCAAAAAGATTTTAATAAATATTGGCCTGGGAACTTTGGCAGCCACTGTAAGTAGAAATAATTAATATTGTATAATTATATGAATGCAATACATGCAATTAAATATATGTTTCAGTGAATAATCTCCAAGAATTGGTGAATCTTTCGGACGACGAGTTTCTGAATAAATATGGAAAATCTAAGCCGAGTAAAGAGACAAAAATCGTGTTCAGCTGCCGTTCGGGGATGAGAGCTAAACGCGCAAAGGAAAGCCTGCAGGGATTGGGATACACACAGTATGACAATATCTTTTGGTATTTATTAATTTATTTTTAACGATTTATAATGGAGCTCTATTTCCTCGTTTTGCAGAGCGCATTTTTACTTGGGTAGTTGGATGGAATGGGCGGAAAAACAAGAACAAAAAAAGAAATAGGAAAAAAGTGTACAGCAAAAAAGTGAAAAAAAGAAAAAGTAGTTAAGCGTAAAACGAAAATTACCATTACAATGTTATTAATAGAATATTTTCACTGTTTACTGAGTTATATATATATATATAGCGATATTTTTAGATGTTCTATTATACAAATAAAGACAATTTTATTTTGATGCAATCGTCGGACACTTCGTTTTTCGATTGCCTTTTTACAAAACTTCTGCGCAAAAATTGAGAAAACGGATAACATTTAATCGAGAACATCTTCAATATCAATTTATATCCTAACTGAGGAAATATCATTCGCAATTATTCTTCGCATTGTTTTAAGATGCTCATTAGCATCGGTATTTAATTATGATCTTATTATTTTTAGTTTAAAATCGCGTTGCAACAGTAATTGACACACAGTTTATATAAATACACAAATTTATATAAAATACATTGTTAGATACCTAGATTCTAGTCTCGGCCGTTGAAGGCACTCCTTGATTATGTTAGTCACTTAGTAGTCCAGTTCAACTTATCAGGAATAATATTTATTCGAATGATATTTATATTTTATTTTAATATTTATGCAATTATGTACATATACATTGGCATTGTTTATATACATTGTCTTTGTACAAAAGCTTAAAATTATATGTGTATATATATTATATATGTGTGTGTATATATATTATATATACACACACAAGAATCCTATGACAAATACCTTTTTAGATATCGTATAATCTATAAGTTTTCAATTCTTCTTCTCCTGCGCCATCTTCTTGTGATTAATCATCTCTCTGAATTGTCCCAATATAAGATTTTCCCTCTTCTGCCGTTCTTCTTTACTGAACATTGCCAAGGCGCGCTTCTCGTCGGCGGAATAGATCTGGTTCTCCTTTCGTATACGGACCGCTTCCATGCGACGATGCCTATAGAAAAAAAAAGTAAAAGGTTTAAAATATATCCTTTTATCCTTGAGTTAGGTGAAGATATATTTTATTAATGGTGTTTCTCGATATTTGAGATCATTTAGAACTTCAATTAATAATAATTAAATTTTAGTTAATTGATGTAATTTTATACACTACAGTAAGTCTAGACACCGATAAAAAGTATACAACACAAAGACCAATAAAGAGAACAGTTAATCTTCGACGATTTTACACATAATATTTATTCAAGTAATATTTTACTTTTTTTAATAATCTATTTAAGTAATATTTTTTTACTATTAATATTCCAAATTGACAATTTAATAATAAAATATAAACGAGTATTAATTAATATTAATTATTAAATTGATAATTTAATATACTGACGCCACAAGCATCTTACGTAAATAATACCGCGTTTTATAAACCTACAAGAGATTTTAGATGAAAAATGCCCACCAAGTATAATGCTAACTTGCATATAATTTTATATATTTGAATGATTACAAAAAGTGCTTTTTCCATTTTCGTGACGTTGAGAAAATATTGTCATTCAGAAAAGCGGTATGTCTAAATCAAAATTTTCATTAATTGATATGCACTCACCTGCTGCCACTCATCACGTAGCCGACCGATTCGTACGACGCAATTTCCTCGGACGTGAGACCGATCTCGCCTCTCCTGGGTATGCGCTTCCCTTCGGCGACATAAGCCGCCATCGCCGCACCCTCGCCCGGCAGCAGCGCCTTGCCGAAATCCTTGGCCGAGAGAGTCACGTGTGGCTTCGGAGCGGGTCCGACGACACCGTCGTCCCCGCTGTCGTCCGTACTACTCGAGCTCCTCTTCGGCTTCGGCTTGTCGACGACCGCGGTCTTCTCTACCCAGACCGCCTCGTCGTCGCTGCCGCTGCTGCCGCTGTCGTCGGAGCTGCTACTCTCGGTCTCTTTCTTCGCCTTCTTCTTCCTCCTCCGCTCCCTCTTCGCTTCCTTCTTCGCCTTCTTCTCCCTCCTTCTCTCCTTCTTTGCCTTCTTCTCCTTCTTCAGTTTCTTGCTCTTCTAAATTTTTAATGTCATTATTATCACGTCTCCATATATCATATAAATATGTATGTTTAATTCTACATTGTAACTAATGTAGTACCTTCTTTTTAACATCGTGCCTCTTTCTCTTGCGGTCCTTCGGTATAATATTATCCTTGTGTTTGCTCAGCTCTTCGTCCTTCTCGTCTGAGCTACTGCAAAATGAAAGAACAAGAGACTTTAAACTATGTCACATGTAATGTTTTGAAGATGACAGATCAACTAATACCAATTTGCTTGTTGATAGAATTTAAAAGTATTTTTTTATTGTTCGAGTGTGAACTGCTGGTACAGTTATGTTATAATAAAATTAAAATAAAAGATTTATAACTTGTAAAATGTAAAACTCGTGCCAAATTCCTAGAGGCTCAAGCTGGCAAGTTAATTGACGTAACAACAAAACAAAATTCTAACAATTACAGGTCACAAATAATTAAAATAGTTGACTAATATGATCAATCAGTTTTTTTTTTCCAATGAGTATTATCGCCAGGATCGATTACGCCGCATGAACGCAGTAACCAACGGATTGTGGATGCGCCGTCAAATATATTTATTCCATTTAACGAAGATGTGTACGTACTACTCGATTTGCGTCGGGGATCTGCTCCAGGCATCGGGAACTCCGCGTAATCCTATCAGCTCTCTCTCGCGCCTCCGCGCGTCCATCATCTTCTCGTTCATCATCTGTTTTCGCGGTCTCTCTTCCTCTTCTTCTTTTATGAATATAATCTGCTGGTCCGCAGGTATTTGCCGCCGTTACGAGTAACCGACGGCGTCACTCCTGGCCACTTCTTTTGGTTAGCTTCGCGCAGAAGTGATAAAACTACTAATTACATCACATATCCGATTTGATCTTCTGCTTCTTCTTCTTCTTCTTCTTGTTATCTCTTTTTCTTTAATCCGATTAAAAATCGGTGAATAAAAATGGGAACTCAACTGACACTCCTTTTTCCTTTCCTATCAGTCCTCTTTGTGAGCGACGCGGCCGTTATTTTGTTAGGTTTTTTTGGGTGTGTTGTTCCACCGGTTGAGGGATTGCGCCTTCAACCTCTCCACGAGGTTGTATGACGCTTTCGCCAGCTTTCACGTTGTTTGTCCGCCCGTTACTGCTATTTACACTATTTATACCCAAGAAAAACGTTCGCTGACAACGTTATGTTGACAACGAGAGGTTAGACAAGTTTGCTTTAGGTTAGGTTCGCTCGCGATTGTAAAACGACGTGAAGTTGCAGACAGTTGCAGAGAGATGTCACCCTCTTCGGGCCTGGCGTAGGTGGAGAACGCCACTTTAAATATAAATTGTAAGGCTTTATTACTCCTACTTTCTTTTAAATATAAATTAATTTTTTTTAATATAAATTGCAAGGCTTTATTAGTGAATGAGAGAGTTCATTCTCTCTTCTTTTTCATTCAATAAATATTCGCGATTAAGAACTTGTGCGATAAATAAAAATTTGCTAATTGCTACATACGCGGAAAGATCTAGATTTGGATCGAAAACATTTCCCTGGTAAAAAATTTTCTTAGAATTTTTTATATAATTTTCATTTTTCAGAATTTCTATATAAATTTTAATAGTTTTTTAGAGTTGTTGTATAATATTTATAATCTTTTAGAAAATTCCTCTAGATATTTTTATACGAATTAAAATATTATTGTTTAAAAGTGTTGAGAAAGCCTACATTTTTTTTTTTAGAATTTTTTATATATGTCAATTCTGAGATTCTCTAAGATCTTATTCTATAATTTTATTAAAGAAAAGAACTTATAATTTAGAATATCTTTTATAAAGTTCTTCATAAATTTAAAATATGAGATATATTATGAGAATATTTTTTCATCAGAATTTGCTTCAAACTTTAGCTTCAAAACTGAAGTAAAAAAAAAAACGTAGTAGATGGTAAAAAAATGCTTGTAAAATGATGTAAAATAATGTTTCCTACAAGACAAGAGCTGCCGCTTTTATTGAAATTGGTGTGTATACACGAGTGGCACAGTGCTTTTACGTGGTTTCGCATAATACCGCAGCACACTGCGATTTTCGAATATAACGAGCGAGTTTGAGCCTTTACGCTTCGAGATGCTTCCGCTAAAGATCTCTCTACATGGTCCGTTGCATAGTTCTTTCTTTCCTCTTTTTTTTCTTTCTCTCTCTCTCTCTCTCTTTATCTATCTTAACTATATATATGTATATGCATATATACATTTGCCTAAAGTCCATACGTATCAGTATCCATAGCGAATTCGGCATGTACAGTGGGAATAAATCTGCTCTGGTGAAAAAATTCTCACATCTTCGTATTTTTAAGAATTTTTCACACATTTTATATTTATGAAAATTAAAAAAAAAATACAAAATTTAAGAATGTAATACAAAATTCTTTAGATTTTTTAAGTTTTCTTGAAAGCATTATGGAATAAGAAATCTTGAAATTATTTCAGAATTCACGTATAAATATAAAGAATTCTTTATATTTATATAATGTAGAGTCTCTCAACCTTTCTGACAATTCCGAGAATTGTTCCAACTCGTAAGAAATCCGAGAAATTTTCTAAAAGATTATGAAATTATAATAGAAATTTGTATAATTATGTAGAAATTCTGAAAAATTATGTGAAGAATAATTCTAAGGAAAATGTTCACCAGGGTGCTCTTTGTAGCTGCGCCATATTGTCCGCACTTACAATGAAATACATAATTAAAATAGAAGGTGGGAGGTTGAAAGATACAAAAGATTCAACTACAAAGAACAAATTTAACCCGAGGTCAGCTGCCCTTTGTAGTCACGGTATGTTATACCTTTTGCAGTTAAAATGAAATGGACACGCGATTGAATATTGAGGAGAAAAAGGTGGAGCAAAGTAAGAAAAGGAAGCATTAAAAGTTCAGCTACAAAGAACGTGCCTTTCGTTCTAAATGCCATGTGCAAAACCGCTGTACATGAAGAGCGATCCAGAAGGGCGAAAGCGCAATGTGAGCACACTTTGAGAGCACCGGTAAAACATCCGATATATATTCCGCATGAAAATGCAACGATATTAACGTCGTCTGTTTCACCGGTCAATATGTTTACATTATGTTTTCGCTATTAAATTGCTACGTGTACAGTAGTACAGTAGCCGTCAGCGTGTGCCGAGTAGTACAAGTATCTGTCAAGTCAGCCGTCGCGCATCGCGGAGAATTTGGAGATTTAGGCCGGTATTCATATAAGTCCGTTCTTGTTACAAGACCGTCTTAAGTAATGTCTTAAGACGCTTAACATTCACGGCTCTGTGATTAGTTTGTGACATCTCAAGATTGTATTTAAGATGATTTTAATACAAGAATTATGAATACCAGCCTTAAAATCAATCGGATATCTTCGAACTTAATATTCAGTATTCATAGTCCGTTCTTATTTAAAGATCGTCTTAAGCAATGTCTTAAGATGCTAGCACGACTTTGTAATTGGCTTATCTTAAGACCGTAACTTAAAATGGTCTTAAATATATAAGAATCGGGCGATTATGAAATTTGAATACCGCTCTGTCCCGATTGATTTGAGCCACAATCTCCAGTCCTTTTGAATCTTAAATACAGATGTGGAAGCGGGAAAACTCGTTTATCCGATAAAGCGACTTTCCTTAAGTTCAGAGCTTCGGTTAAACGATCCGATTAACTCGATCAGATTAATATATCACGCGATACCCTCGTCTTGCTTTTATACCATTAATGCGAGTAGAATTATTTGTAGGAGACTGAAAAAGTTAACGGAGCCAAGCGAGAAAATTCGAGATCCTCATTTTTCTTCCTAGTACTTGGGATGCTCTACTGCTCTCATAATTACTCCGATATCTCATCAATAATCTAATCATTTTTAAGGCTCCATATTTCTACATATTAATTTTTTTAAATTAATAGACTCGTTAATTTCATAAATAAATTATTCATTTTTTTCAGCATATGAAAGAATTGAAAAGATTGTGAACAACGAGTTGTACGGTCAGAAGTTTCGCTTTAAGCAATTTCTATCAGTCGATCAAGTTAATCGGATCTCGTTCGAAGTTTGCCCTTAAGGCGAGACCAGTCGGGGACCACTCCGTATATGTGCGCATATGTAACACACGCTCCATTATGTGTATCGCTATGTATACATAGTATAAAATTAACATTATAGGAGATATTCAGAATCCCTTGGCAAGCTTCCACAACGTCGGAATGCCGAAAACCGCTCGCGATTTCCCGCGTAATGGCAAACGATATTGAGGGAAGGTGGAAATAGCGTGTAAAAAGAAAAACCGATGGCAACCACAGGCGGACGCGACGCAGGAAACGTTCCTCCCTCCGAACGGGAAGCTGCTCTGGAAGCTTGTCAATAAAGCTTTGAAACATCCTATGTAATATATTATATATATGTATATATACATGTATATACGCATATCGGAGATTATATGTACAAGATTTCATTTGGAACCTACTTTGGAGGGGGAGGGGGAAAAAAGTGTCGAGCGGATCGTGCCTAGAGATCGTTTTTTCTCCCGATATCGTAATACTATGTAGTTCACTATAGTACCTGTATCGTAACGCTATTTTGTTATTTCTTTTTTTTTTTTTTTTTTCAGAATGCGCTGGCAGGGCAAGAGTATTAAATCTGACCGCGTGTGCCATATTGTTCTCGCACCGCTTTAGAATATTGCTTCTGAATAAACGCGACATCGCGGTGCGAATGCGACTTCAGACTTTCCTCCTACGCGCCGCTCTTCCTTACAGTCTATATTAATACAAAACGTCGCTCTCGCGTGTATATGACATGAGTAACTAAACGAATAAATGTATTCGTCTCTGAACAACGGATGACGCACTTGAATGTGCGACGGGGAGGGGGGAATCGCGAACGCAGATCATCAATTTAAATTGCTGGCTCGATAATAATCGATAACATTAATATATTTTAATAATATATAAAAATAAAGTGTATATTTTTGTAGTAGAGGAATATTGTAAAAATGATGTATTTTGGAAGATACGGAGGATTATGACGAAATGAACCCTTTTTTTTTGCGTGTATGTGTGCGTGTGTGTGTGTGTGTGTGTATGTGTGTGGGTGTGTGTGTACGCGATATTACGGAGCGCTTTTGAATCGAGAGATCTTTAATGAAATTTTTCCATTTCGAACATCAGAACAATCTCCACGTGCGAAAAAGGCAGTATATTTTGTTCGAGTCCCGCCGCGGGACCGCCGCGCCGGGTTCTCGCCGCGGCGGAGCGTCCTCATTTCTATACATGTATATACTAAATTCTACGAACCCTGACCTGTTGTCTTCATCGGTTAGCTACACACTTTATATTTCAACATCGTTTCAATTAAATCTCATTATCCATATAATTCTGAAATATATGATCTTATTCGTAAAACGTAGTTTTGTTTTCTCTAATCTATTATATATTTTATATATATATATATATATATATCTATATCTTTTGTTAGAATAATCCACGAGAGAGACACGCGACTCGTCCTCTGTCTCTCTTTCTCTTTCTCTTTCTTCTAGTCTCTAAAATAATTATCACTATACGTGAGAACGCGCGATTTAGCGTATCGTCAGGTAATAATAGCGTTTGAAAGGTAGACTTCGCCCGAGTGCCGCGAATAGCTTCACGGGAATTTATACTTTCCGTCCGTCGAGACACGCTTAAAACTACACCTAAGTCGAGAGATTCGCACACGCACGTGCGTGTATGTATGCATGTATGTACGTATGTATGTATGTATATGCGCGCATGTGTGTGTGTTTTTATGTGTGTCTGTGTACATAGAGGTAACACAGCGCGTAATTTTAATTAAGTACATATAGAGGACTCTATCACAAATAAGTACTAATTAATATACCTTGCGAACAGAAGACATTCGATGGATAGATCTTTTTTTTTTCGACTCGACTCGAGTCGACGCAGGCAGACCATAATGAGGACGAACACAACCGAGCGAGGTCGTGTCCCCGGGAGGGCAGAAGGGAGGAAACGAACGAGGGGAAAGGAAGAGACACGGTGGCGGAGTTTCCGAGGAATCTCCGGCCATCCGCTGCACGGATTATACATATGGCACCACGGGGAGAGGAGATTTGTCGAGTAGAGTTAGTCAGTTGGACGGTGAAGCACAGAGTTAACGTCGCTAGACAGTCGTTTCCCGGTCCACGTGAATGTACTCCACGAAACCGGGCGGCTGCTGTCAGGACGCCACTCCGAGAAGCGTCTCCTCGGTCGGTGCACGTCGCGGCTTCTTGCTCTTCTTCGGCCCCTTGTAGTGAAATCTCTTTGTATGAGCTTTGGATCTAGAAGAGACGAGGGGTGAAGATAAAGGGGAAAGGTGTTCTGCCTATTTGGCGCATTAATACATTGTATTTTCTTAATTATATTTTCGTCCTTTAAAATCTGAGTTTAAGATTAAAATCTGAATACTTCCACATATTTTATAGAAAATATATAAGAGATAAAGTATATGATAATTTTGTTGAGCTGAGAGATAAATTATGTGATAATTTTGTTGGCTTCTAGAACCCAAAAGATTTGGGAAAATACAAGGATGGGAAGTTTAATAAATCTAGCAAATATAAGGAGTCCAGTCTAAAGGACTAAAAATCTCAATCAATGAAGAGAACAGTAATAATTTCTGCATCGTTAGACACTTGCTTTAAATCCACTCTGCAATTATTACGTAATAATTTTGCCATTCTATATTGATATTTAATGCGATCTAAGGTGATGATTAACGTGGATTTCCTTTTCAAACGAAGTCGAGTTACCTGCTAATAAGAATAGTGAATAGGCACGCGAAGGCAGTGACAATTCCAGCGACGCCGGCGACGACCAGCCATATGGTGGGCGGGAGCAGTCCGAGTAGCCGCGCGCCGTTCCCGCAGTTGGCCTCGTCGTGACCGGACGGGCAGTGCGCGTGGCCGTCGCACCAGAGACTGGCGGCGATGCACGCGCCCAGCTCCGGGCACTTGTGCGGGCAGTCACCCATGTACGACGGCACGCCGTTCGTCTCGTTCTCGATCATACCGCCGGCGATCCTCTCCGGAAGACGTAGCTGACGGCGCAGGGCCGCGCGACTCTTGGAGATCTCGAGCCAGGAGGCGGCCGCCTGGCCGGCCTCCCGCGCCACGAAGTCGAGCAGTAGCGCGGGCGGTCTCGGTGGACCCGGCCACTTGCCCTCCTCCGTCGGGCCGAGCCATTCCTGGGAGAACACGTGCACGGTGAACTCGCGGGCGCCCGGTTCCGCCGGGCACACCACCTTCAGCAGCTTCAGCGGCCAGCCGGAGTAGAGGAGAATGCGATTGGTGGTCGGGCACTTGACTTGATCGTCGCTGCCACCGCTGACGCCGCTGACGCCGCTGACGCCACTGACACCGGTACCGCCGGCGCTGACGCCGGTACCACCGGACGTCTCGGGACCGGGGACCGGCGGTGGTTCCAACGGCAGAAACCAGCCCCAGGTCAGGACGAAGAGCGACCGGTTCTCGTGCGCCTCCACCAGCCACGGGAGACCCTCGCAGTAGATGTCCGGTCGCGACAGCGGGGGATTGACGAATCTCAGTTCGCCACCCTCGCCGCGGATCCGCTGCTTCCGCGGGCACTCCGGCACGCGAAGGAGCTCGAAGCTGGCGTAGAAGAAGAGCGTCTCGAAGTCCTCGTGGGGCGCCTGCTGGTCCACCAGGAAGGTTATCTCCAGCGCGCGGCCGGAAGTGATGTACGTGAGCGGCAGGTGCGACGTGTTGTCGCACAGACACGCCCGGGGTAGCCTCACGTCCCGCCATGGCGCTTCGTAAATAACCAGGCGCGCATCCCTGGAGCCCACCTCTTGCACGCAACGCGGCTTACCGGTGTGCGGGTCCGAATCACTCGTGCACATAGTGGACTCGCCCAGGCTGACGTTGTGCAGCGTCAAGCGGACTCGCTCTCCACTGCCGGCTTCCACGCGATACCTGCATATTGATGAGGCGCACGGTAATCAAAGTCAAAATGCATATTCATGGCTTTCAGTTCAAACAAATCCGCTATCTATAGGCAAGGGAGAAAGCGCCTGCTACTGCACGGCGCCGAAATCTTGAATTCGCGTTTGCTTAGAAACCCTTTGTCTTTCTAACGACTACCAGTCGATACTTGAACTACCAATCGCTACCCCGTATATATCTACCTGCAATCCAACTTGGTGGCACCACCCCGGCCGAACAGACGTACGTCACGCGGCGACATCACCTCGCCGACGTGCACCTTGCGCCATATTCGGCTGCAGATACCGTCGCCCCAGGGTTCGCCGGTCTGCACGGTGGAAACGAACTCGTATCGCGCCTGAAAATGGAAATTAACAAACTATACGAATCCAGCATAATTAACGTATATACTTTAAATAGATAATTTTATTTAAATTTAGAAAAGGGCCCCTAAAAAATATATTATACGACTGAATTGATCTATAATTAAACCAAAGATAAATGAGGAGATTTTAGGAGTCCGGACAGATGCAATATCTCATATACTCACGTGGAAGTTAATCGGATGAAGAGCGGTACCCAGAACCGTTTCCATGCGCAACGTCAGGCTGGACGTGGTCGTCAGGTAACTCTCTTCTTCGGTGCACGGCCTCGTCGCCCTGGTGATGTTACGAAGGGCCGCGTGGGCGCACAGCTTGGGCGTGTCGTCGCACAGCGTGGCCATCGGCTGGCCCGTGCTCTGTATACCGTCCCAGAAGATGAGCTTCACCGCGCACACCGACGCCGCGGTGATGTCCGGCGTCACCTGGCCGTTGGTCGCGTTGCCGTTCTCGCCGTTGCCGGTCGTGAGATCGCGCTGCGAGTACGACGAGAAGTATATCCACACGCGGTCGCCGATCGCGCCCTTGATGTTCCACGTGCAGCTGGAGCCGGGCGGTAGCGCGTGCAGGGGTGCGCGTATCGTGCCGCTGCGCTTGCCGCCGACGCCGGTGCCGTTGACGAAGAAGTGGCAGCCCTGCGTGCCCTTGGCGTAGTCGAGACCGTCCGAGTCGACGTAGATCACCCGTAGCTCGAGCTCGAGTCGCAGCGACGACGCGCCGAGCGGTATCGCGACCGGCGAGCTGCGGAACTCCACCTGCATGGCGGGCCCGCGCGCGGTCACCTGCGGCAGCGGGCCGCCGCAGTACACCAGGAGCACCGGGTCCTCCGTGCGCGCGCCGTCGCGGAAGATCAGCCGGTCCCGGTCCGGCGAGCAGTCCTGCCAGACGCTGAGGCTCGTGTTCACGGTGGCGCTGAGACCAACCGGGCCGGCGGGGGTGCTCTTGACCGATATCATGGCGTGCTTGCACGTGGGCACCTCCTTCTGCCGCACGGTGATCAGGCAGCTCGCGTTGCGCGGATACTCGCCGGGATAGTTCGGGCTCTGCAGCCGGCACTGCTTCAGGTGGCACTCGTAGAAGTTGCGGGAGCAGTAGGTGCCCGGCACCGGGGAGCCCCGCTCGATCGGCAGCTCCGGCTTGCCCAGCCGGGCGACCGCCTCGTTGCGCGCGACGAAGCGGTAACGGAGACGAAACTCAAACGGCACCGCGGACGGTGCGTGGAACAGCCGTATAGAGGCAGTGACCGTACTGGTTTCACTATACAATAACAATAATAAATCATTAATGATAATTACTAATGATTAAATTATTATTCCCATACAAAGTCTAAAAGCGGAACTTTGGATAAGACATCTTAAGGACGTCTTACAGGGGGTCTTCTATCCCAATTTTAGACTTTGCATTGTCTCGGGTCGGTGATAATAAAAAGCTCTTTAAATTTGCAGATCCGAGACCGAGTGACCTTTCATATCCCGCCGAAATATTCCTCGCAGCATTCTTTAACCAGGGAAAAATTGAAGATTCGCGGAACGGCGAGGTGAAGAGATAGTATAAGGTAGATAAAGAACCTATAATAGGATGCGCGACCCTCGCTGACGCCGCACCAGGAGCCGCCGGTGAAGTGACGGCCGAGCTCGGCGAGCTGAAGCGAGCCCTCGGGGCAGCTGGTGAAGTAGTTGTCGGCGTTCGCGTCGACGCGGCCGACGCTGAACGCGTCCCAGAGCAGCTGGACCAGCTCGCCGTAGCCCTGGCCGGCCGCGGTGAACGTCAGGTGGCAGAGGAACGGCAGGCGTTCCTCGGCGGGCCGCGGCAGGTCCAGCTTGTACGTGTGCCCCTCGCGGCCGTGGTACGTGCGGTTGCACGGCGTGCACATCGCCGGCTCGTCGCTGCCATCGCCGCAGTCGTCCTCGCCGTTGCAGTAGGCGTCGATCGGCACGCAGCGGCCGTCCCGACACGTCAACTCGGCCAACCCGCAAGTGCCACCGCCAATACCGCTGCCGATGATGCCGATACCGCCGCCGCCGCCGCCGCTACCACCGCCGCTGCCGCCGCCACCACCGCTGCCAATGCCGCCGCCTCCGCCACCCCCGCCACCGCTACCACCCCCGCTACCGCCCGTACCACCCCCGACGCCGCCGCCGTCCGACGCGTCAGCGATCAGCAGCAGCAGCAGCAGCAGCAGCAACAGCGAGACGATTCCGATACGATGCGACGATCGAAAATACTGCTGCCTGTTACTGTTGCTGTCGGATCCTCCTCCGGCATCAGCTATCTCCTGCCAACGAGAAACGTATATATGTCTCTGAAGGGGTTTTCTTTATTTGTAATGTTAATATTTGACGTAATATTTATTAAAAATCAGAAAGTCAAAGGTTCGAAGGATTAAAATTTAAACAGAAATTAAAATAAGGGGCCATGTGAGCCGTTTATTAAATTTTATATTTAAAATATAATAAACGTGCAATAATAATTTATACTTAAAATTTAATATTTACTAAATAATCATCACGAAATTTGGAGGACTGCCCAATTGAATTTTAGTAAAACATTCTCTGAAACAATTCTTAATGATTTAACGCGATAATATATTCGAGCAAACACAGATTATAACTACAAATGCTGCTGCGGCATTGTAACTTTTCAGCTGTATGGCAGAAATGTTACAATTTTGCTGCAATATTAATTATAATCTGTGTTTGCGCTGGAATAATATATATATATATATGTACAGGAGCTGCGAGTGTCCCACTCCGCGGACCACGGGCTAATCGTATTAAGCGTCAGCCCGCGTCTGAAGCGGGTCGGAGATTTAAATCGATCGGACCTTTCGTAAGATGTGTATCGGAGGAACAGGGGAGGGAAGGGGGGGAGGACGCGCCGCGTCGTGAACACCTGTTTCACTTTAAACATCCGCGCGCGATTCGCGCTAATTCGATTTTCACCGTCGGCGTTTCGTCCGTCGCGTACATACAATTACTGACATAAAATTGGAAATATACATTATTGGGATCAATGACGAGGGGATGCGGGCGGACGAAGTTCGACGGTCACGTCGAACTTACCATAATAGTTCGCCAGCGAAACGAGCATATCACAGTGACAATTCCGACGTTGCGTTGCGGATGATGTTGCTGGCGGCTCGGGATGATGACAGCATGACTGGCTCGACGAGGCGACGATGAGATGAGCGATGGGATGAATGACGACGGGGACGCGAAGTGGGACGCTGAAGCTACTACGAATCGCAGTGATCGTCGGCAGTGATCGTCGGCAGGACCGACGACGACATCCCCGTGGGCACGATTGTGAATAACGACGACGACGAGCCGCCGGGTACAGCCTCCCGGAGAAGAGAGCGCGACGACGGAGGGTACCACCCCGCTTACGCGCCACCACCACCGCCGCCGCCGCCGCCACCACCACCACCGCCGCTGCCGCCGCTGCCACCGCCGTCGTCGTTGCTGCACTCACGAGGAGCGCCCGCCACCACCCTCGCTTGTGCTCGTTGTGCACGCCCCAGAGGTCGATGCGCAACTGCACGCATCGCCATGTACCTTCCCCAGAGGGAAGCCAGCCGCGTCGCGTCGCGCGCCGCGCCGCCGCCGCCGCTGCAGGCCATATACATGTATACCAGGGGCCAGGGGTGAACAGAACGGGGGCTGGAGCTCCGTGCTCGCGCCGGAGAGAGAGAGCCCTGGTGCCTTGCCTGCCTGGCCACTAGGCGCCTCAATGCATCGATCGGCCCTCTCTCGCTCTCTCGCTCGCGCGGCTCTCTCATCCTCATCCTAACCCTCTCCCCCCCCCTCTCTCTCTCTCCTCTCTGGCGTTCTCTCCGTCTCTGTCCGCGACGCCCTGAAGCCCCGCAGTCGTCGCGCCGAGGGCTGTAGAGGCGCGAGAAAGGAAGAAGAAGCTGCGGGATCTACGCGGGGATCCCCGCGGATCTATATCAATCGGGATCGCGTGATCGTAAAACGTTAATACGCCCCCGGCTCGGAGGAGCGAGACCGGGGAAAAAGATAAAACAGGACCTCCCGATGTTTCGGGAAATATAGATTCGCGGGTAAATGTATATATCCTCTCTCTCTCCAAGAGAGTTACGGCGGACCGCTTTTCGCCGTCCACAGATTGTAATCTCCGCTCTGCGGCATTTCCTCGGGTTTTCACTTATCGGAATTTTTGCGCCCTAGTAACCGCCCTCCGGGTTCGGTTAAGCGTCGTCGACCGTATCTCGAGGAAAATATGCTATTCCCTCCGGATCGAATCCATAATGATAGATATAACGAGCTGAATTTACATAATATCCCACGTCAGGAAGCCTCTCGATTGCCCGGGGTCGTTAACCGATTTTCGGGCGAAGACGGAAAGCCCTATAGTGTTTATTTTCAGCAAATGATATAGTTATGAATGTTATGATATAGTCATAATATATGTATATAGAATATATATAAAATTTATATATATATATATATATTCCATTATATGTATATATAATTTTTTACACACATATAGTGTTTTTTAAAAGGCGTGATGTAGAGCCAAGCGTATAGAAATATCTTTTGTTAGCGGGAAAGGCGCTAACGCGCGTATCTAACTGAAGTAACTGAATTTTTTGAGTATAATTTTTATATATAAAAATAATTATTATTTATATTTCCTTAATTGGAATTCCATTTTATCAGAAAATCAGTATGTCAAAATATTAAATTAAATTTTTCTGGGTGCATTGATGTCATGGTGATGACAAGACTACAACTGATGTATAATTTATCGCAGAGATGTTACATTTGCATTTATATGCGTATATAATATTATATATACACGAGTAGGTAGCGGGTTTCACCGCCGCGTCCCTCTTTTCACCCTGCTGTCCGCGGGCTCGTCAACTGTCGAGACTCTTGACGTCGGTATATAGGGCGTTCCACTTAGCTCGGCTCTCTCGGGTATCGCTCTTGAAATCATTTTGCTCGAAGAGAGATATTATAATTTATAATCATCGAAATTATCCTGTTGTGCGAGTCAAGGATCATGCATATTTGCTTCTTTCAAATGGAGGACACCAAAATATCTTGTTTTATATCGATTGGCGCAAAGAGGGTGGTTCGTTTGTACCTCTCTCAAATTCCATGTCAACGTTAAAAACCCAGATCTTTTTTTTTTTACGGGAAATAGATCAAAGGGATTTGATTTTTAGAAAAAAGAATTGGTGTTGATTTCGCTTCGCTTTTGCCTTTCATCGGAATCATCGCCTTTGTCGACGAGTGGCGGATCAGTCGAAAGCAGAAAAGAGGAAAAGTTATAATTGGTATAACGCAAAAGAGAGTTAATGCAATCGTTACAATTTTGACCTCCCCCCCCCGCAGTAATAATTTCTTCCTCATGCGTTTCCCCGCGATGGGGAAGATCGTATCGTAACAGATCGAGCAGGCGGAAAATGAGCTTCGGAATGGGATCGAGTTAGGTGGAACACCCTGTACAGACGCGGCCGTTACCTAGGCTGCACACACATCTCCCGCGAATTCACCCCTCCGGCTCTCCTCGATACCTGCCTCTCCAGGTTTCCCCGACGTTCTCGAGCTCCTCTCAGAGCCGGAGAGAAGGCGCGTGCACCCACTGGCGAAGCGTGTCGAGGACGTACACGTCGTCGTGATCGTCACCGCCGTCGTCGTCGCTCGACATCGTCGAGCTGCTCCTAATATATGCATGTAACATGTGCAGCCACCGGCGCGTGCACCGCACAGCCTCCTTGTCTTGACGGTGACAACGACGACGACGACGACGATGGCTATCGAACGCGGGGTGCACACACCCTTTTCCATCTCTCTCTCTCTCTCCCTCCCTCTCTTTTCCTCTTTCGATCTTTATCTCGCTCTTTCTGGAGGGCGCAACGTACAAAGGGATCGGTGATAACTCTCTTATCGCGTTACCATGCAGCATCAACGGGCACTCTGCAGTCTCGCGGTCGCCAGCCCGTTCCCATTCTTCTTTCGAGCGCGCGCGGTTATCGATCTCCGCTCGGCGCGCGCTCATTATCTCCGCTTATTACAAAACGGTTCATCGTCCGGCGCGCGCGCGCGCGCGGCATGCTCTCGTCGCCGCGTACACGTGCTAATTAAGAATATCTAATCTCCGCGAAACGCGGTCACGGGGTAAATCCGATAGCGCGCGAGCGTGATGCGGTAAACAAGCCGCGGCGGCGCGCGTCTATAATTGGACGAGGGTGTAATACCGTCTCTCGCGTGCCGAGAGGCACGGCGCGAGAGGTAATTTATGCTTCTGCACGGAAGAGAAAACTGCGGGGATGAGCGTAACGCGAAATTTACGTGGATAATTACGAAGTGTCCCGACAGGACGACGCGCGGGTTCTCGAATGTATAATGGATTTATTTCGTTAATGTCGATGTGATATTTTATCGCATCTCTCTCTCTCGAACGAGACACACGCCTCAACTTACGCACTTAAGCCCGTGTCAGATTATATTGGAAATCGAGGAAATTGTGAATTAAAAATTATAACTTGACTATAATCGGCTAACTTTAATTTTAATCCGTTCTAATTGATTGAATTCTAAATCTCTAATTCTCATCCTCTAAAATGTGCAGTCCGATACGGGCTTTGAACATATGAAATTATTATCTCTCGAGGCGAAGAAATGCAAGATTAAGCGAAAGTCGAATTATTTTCTGATACTGTTGAGAAATCATCAAAGCTATCGGGAGAACATATTTTGGCGAGAGGCAACGCGACTTGAATTTAATTGAACATTTCGCGCCTTTCAGGAGGTGATAATTCGGAAGCGATACACCCGCGGTTATAAATGTCCTAACGCGTGAATTGGTATACGCGTATCGGTATCGAAGCACGTTTTACCCCAATATGCACCTGTGCTCACGTTGAAGGCAAGTGTGTAAATCAAATTGAAGTGAGTTACGATTCCAAATTTGAACGGCTAGCTTTTCGATATTGGAAGAACATGATGTGCGAGAGGTAAAAACTATTTCCTGATGGGCGCGCGAACTTTGAATCGATTTATCGATAATGTCATAAATTTTTCATCGAATATTTTATTCGACAAAATAGTAACATATATGTATCTCCGACCATAATTTTCCAAAGATATCAGAAGATACGTATCTCAATTCTCGCTTAATCATTAACCAATTTTTTATGAAAAAAAGACGTAAAAATTCAAGATAAATGTAGATATTTTAGAATAATTTAGAATGTCATTTGAGATACGAATGCTTAAATTTTATTATTTTCTCATTTTCGAGAAGCACGAAATTATCTTTAACGCGCGTATTATTCAATAATTAGGTAATTACAAGCATTAAATAACATTAAATAATGAAATCTACTTTCGATTTCTGACCAAAGTCCTTAAATTTCGCTTCTGCAACAAAGCTTGCATTGCCTTTACTCAAATCTAACGGTGGAGTGCGGTGCATCCACGCGCGTGAAGAGTTATAGAATGCTTTGAGGAGACCGCGGCGTGTGTGTGTGTGTGTGTGTGTGTGCGTATACGTGTGCGTAATCATGTGCATGGGAATAGCGGGGCAGAGGAGAGGAGGGAGATGCAATTGAGTGATGAATGCATCGCCGGGATGCATGCTCACCTAGTTATGCCATCGGCGCATAACGTAGATGGATTCATCGTTCCACTGTTCTAATTCAGGTGCCGGGATATCCTTAAATAGCGAGATTCTATTTGCAGACAGTGTGCGGATCGAAATCTTGTATCTTTTGTGAAAAGTGTGATTCGGATATTAATTCGATGCGATATTAAAACGTTCCGCGATCTGATTATCAATTTGCATTGAATTTTCGTAAGCTCGAAATCTCTCGTTTTCGATTCGAATCTTCCTTGGACTGTTTTTAAGATTCTGTATTTAAATATACGAAAACAATAATTTTACTATTAAATGTAGAACATCGGCAAGATTTTTTATTTTATTCCTCATTCAAAATATTCAAAATATAATCTCTTAAGAAGTCAGCGCCATTTTCCTCTAATGATTAAAAAAAAAACGGAATGAGAACAGGACTTCTTTATACGTGGCTGCAATAAGATATCCTAATAACAAGTCCGATTGCTCCGCAGAGGGAAGGTTAAGTAAGCGGCTTATATCTTCTCATAAAAATTGCAACTGTAACGAAACTATAATGAAAGCAAACTTTAAAAACGAACAGAATGAAGACTTTTGTTGAAGAGACCAAGGCTATTCGGGAGCTTTAGAACTGTGGAGTACTAACGGTACTGTAATTTCTGATGGTTCAAAGATCCATCATTGGAAAAAAATATTCACGGATCGAATAGAAAGATTTACTCTAAAAACTTGGGGTGACGCGGTGGCTCTGTGTTGAAGAAAATCGACTCGTAATTAGCAGGGCTCGGATTCGACCTCTATATATGCTCCGGTTTATAAAAGATTAAAGTTAGAAAAATTTCAAGAAAAGCAGGTGATTTTGTAAACCGAGAATAATGGACATATGTATATATGATCTAAAATCTTACAAGAAAAAAATATGTATGTATACATACATCAGTTATTGGAAAAACCTATATTCTTCAAGATCTGCAGCTTTAGATATACATTACTAATTTAAGAAGAACATTTATTTCTAGAAGTGTCCTCCTTCTTGTAAAGAATACGCTGCAGCGTCTCGCTCATGAAAAGATGTGTTTTACGAGAAATATTTCGCAAGTTATATATTTGTTTACGAAAAGTATACTTCGCTCGAGACGTTACTTACATCGCGTCCCTTGAAAGGAAAAAAAAAGGAAAGAGAGCTTTCTCCTTTAATAAATATATTCAAAGATATTCGTGTGCTGAATGGATATACAAATCAATATTAGGCGAGGAATTGATGTTAGATTCGATGGATCATGAGTTAATGCGAAAATTTGCAAGACCACAATAAGTGGAAATTAATTGCTTTAATCGCTGATGCAATTCGAATGTGGCAATGCCATAGTTTGTATACGGTATACATAGTGATGAAATGACGTCATTACATTTATATATCTACACCCCTGTGGTACAAATATGATTAAAATCCATTCACGGAAAGCCAAATGAGTTTCACACTTACAAGTGTCAGATAGCTTTTCATCATAGCGGTTCCGCTAATTGTTACGGAAATACAAAAAGTTTATATGTGTCACCCTAAAGCTATTAAAATACTGTTATTTTTTTTTCATTACTGACAGTTCACTTCAAAGAAATTGAATATACGAGGAGCGTGCAAATTAAAATTATAATTCAATAATTATATTATATATTATTAAATAATAACACCGCTGTTTCTTTAATTTTTTTTTACAATTATCGAATTGTAATCTTAATTTGCGCTCCTCGTCACATCACATCTCGATGTTTACGTATATGTACGATTCTAAAAGTTTATGTCTATATAATAAAGCTATCGTACATGTAGAAAATCTTGAATTTTTACACAGCGTGAATATACTTTAAATCGAATTTTTATATGCGATTACGGTGTATAAACGGAATTTGATTTGCACGATTGACTCGATCGGAATCGTCGCATTCAATATCACGCAACGAGTACAAATAAATTTAATAGAAACTTACTTCTCTTCCAATATTAGTGCTCCCGTCTCGGCATTCCGATTTTCTGCCTTCCGAAAAAAAATTCAATTTTCTTTTTACTGGCCAAGAAAAATTAACGGACTGAATAGAATCCGTAACAGATTTTCCAAGATCATTGAAAAAGAAGAACGGCGCGTCGAAGCGATCCTCTGGCGCGTCCGGAAAGTTTAGAAAGCGTAACGCGTACGTATGTCCTCCAGCTTCTTCGACACCTCCGATGGCGTTCTCTCGAGATCGCCAGAAATGCTCTTCTGCTTCGCGGGCTCGATCGAGTTGAATTGCTCGCAGAGATCGCCGTCGATGACATTTTTTACAGGGTAGTAGTACGACCGGAAGGAGAGGTGATCTCTGCCGCACAGAGGCGGATGCTCGGATCGCATGTGCATCTCGAGATGCTGGAAGAAATCGTGATCTTCGTGGCTCGTGAACGGCACGAGCACGCCCACCGTTCCGCTCAGGGTCGTGTAGACCAGACTCTCGGAACCGCCGGGGATGAGGGTCGCCTTCTGCAGCGACATCACCGTCTCGCCGACGTGGAAGCACGCCACCGTGTCCGCCTTCTGGCTCGCGCCGTTCAGCAGTCCCCGGTCCCACAGGGCCTTATTCCCGGTAGGATCCTCGTCCACGTCGTCATTAATGCCAGTCGCCAATCGTATCTGAAAAAGAGATCGGGAAAAACTAAGATATAACCGAGGCCGTTAATTCGCAAGGTTGCCACAAATTTTACATTCTAAAATTTCTTAACTTTTCCCTGACTTTCAATAATATTAAAAAATTTTTTTGTAGGTTCGTTTGGTTTGAAAACTATTTGGAAACCGTTAAATATTTTGTTGAGAGAACAATTTAACGTAGCAATATTAATTACTATTACTGTTGTTCGACATTGCTTGCACTTAATTGTTAAGTTGTTAGTATTCCTTTATCTTTTTCTTTTATATATGTGTACATTTCTTTTCCTCTGCTTACAATACAAGAAACACGTAAATATAGATTCTTTTTGATAAAAACTACATTCTGTTTATTGGAATCTCCATCTTGCTATTATACAAATATTTACAAACTTGAAAGAAGAATGATAAAAATATAAAGTCAATTTTAATTTTATAATTTGTTCACAAGTGACACAAGAAACTTAAAAAAAAGTTTTAGCGAAGTTTTAAATAAATTTAAAATTCCAACAAAAAGTAGACAAATTGAAAATTCTAATGCTGTTAGTGAAACATTTTAAATCTCTATTAAAAAGAGATATTTACATTAGCTAACAAAATTGTATAAGTGTGTGACATATGCATATTAAACTTTTTTAAAGCTAAGAATTTTAATTTTCCAGAAAAATTTGTAAAATTCCCTGACTTCCAGTTTCGTGGCAACCCTGAATTGTCACACAAATGACGAAGGTGGGATGCAACGCGGAGATGTGAACTCACCACAGCTATGTTTCCGAATTTGTCGGCGGTGGCGACGGTGTCGTAATCTAGCACGCACGTCGTCGTGATCCACCTGGGATGCGTGTCGTCGGCGAAAACGATCAACTGATTCTCCTGGCGCTTGTATCGCACCGCGTACACGGACTCCTGCACGTCGCTGACGTAGATCCGCTGGCCGATCGCGTTGATCGACACGACGGCGTTGGGTATGTGCTTGTTCTCGCACTTACGCAGCAACTTCTTCTTGCCCATGTCGTAGAGCCGCAGCATCCTGCCCACGCCAACCAGCACGCGTCCCTGATACGGACAAATGGCCAGCGGCACCTCGTCTAACGGGGATTTGTGCAGCAGCTCAATACTGGTACACTCCGCATTTACTCTGGAACACCGAGAGCAATTACTTTTGATTATTTCCGTCGCGTAAAATGTCACGCTCGTCGAAAGACACTATAAATATCAGCACTGCAGGACTTATCATCAAAATACAGAAGGTCAAAAATGATCATCAGTTTAGTTATCTGTTAATTATATCAGGCAAAAATTCTCGAAATAGAAGGAGATATCTTACTTGTATGTGTAAAGAAAACCGCCATTGCTAACTCTAGGATTCAGCTGAAATTCCTTCGCGACGCCAACAATGAGAAACAGCTGGTCACCTTGATTGGCGAACTTTACGAGGCAAAGACTGAAAAAAAAAAAAAAGACAGATTTATAATATCGGATAATCACAAAGATGAGAAAAGATCGACTGTCCCTTCCTCGCTTACCATAACGCGGCTAGATTTTGCTCGAATCGATGAACTTCGAACGTTTCTCCGGTGGTCGGTGCCATTAGTCGCAGCATAGAAGCCCAGAGGCCCGGGCCCGCTCGCGGGGCACCGAAAACCGCCTCGTTCGGCTCCTCCGACATGAAGGCCTCCGCTAATTCCCGGGCGACAGCGGCCTCCTCGGCGCCGGCCGCCTCCTGCATCTCGTCCGCCATCTGCTGCCGTCGCTGCTGCTTTGTCTCCTCCGTGTAGGCGTTGTGCTCCGTCTCGATGATCACCAGATGCGCGGAGTCCGCGTGAATCGCGAACTTCCGCGGCGTGTACTCCAGCGGGAAGCTCACCTGATTGAACACGGCGCCGAGTTTCTCGAGCGCGAGGATCCTCAGCGTGTTCGTCGATATGGCGACGATACCCTCCGGGCACTGCTCGGAGCTGAAGCCCGACGCGAACTCAAGGCTCTCGTACGACAGGGGCGTGAGATGGAAACGATTCTGGTGGTAGTAGCTCAGCCAGGAGCGGCTGCTCATCGCCAGCACCGCCTGGTTGCCCTGCATTCGTATTCTGAAGAGCTTCACGGGCCGGGAGCCCAGGTAGCGCGTTCTCGTGTCCGCGAGATCGCCGGAAATCGGGTCTAACACAGTTCTGAGCAGGACACCGTTCTGCAAACCTGGAATTAACGGCGACCGTATCGTACAACGTGTATTAAAAGGCGCGATTCGATCATTTATCTTTTTTTTTAAACATAAGTTTTAAATGTCACAAACAAAAAATATAGATGTCACAAACAAAAAATATAATTGTGTACAACTGAAGATATATTTACCTATATTCAGGTATAAACTGGATTGCTGCGGCGCCGCATCCTCGGAATTGTCGGCCTCCTTGGCGCCCATCTCCACGATGCACAAGCTCTCCGCGGCCGCTGGCAATGCCTGCATGCTCCTCGGAGCCAGACAGTCCGAGGGATCCAACGATATTATCCTCACCGTGTTGTCCTGCAGCCCGACGGCAAGGAACCACGAGCGCTGCTCGCCCACTGCCACGTTCCCGAGGGCCATGCACATTACCTCCGAGGGCATCTTCTTCCTTTCCGTATACTCGTTCAGTTGTCCGGTCTGAAAAGATTCGCACGGATTTACTTAGGAAGCCGATCATTGACGGGAAATTTCAACGGTGTCTTGTTCACTCTCCCATCAGTCTCCCAACCACTAAGCGAGACAGGCTTAGCTCGATTGGCCGTGCAAGACGAAATGAGTGGTTATGCTCTTCGCATCCTTTACACCTCTGAGAACAAGGATTAGACACCCCAGAGAGAACAAATAATGCGATCGTCAATAAGTCGCGTGTACGTTAGGAGGGAACCGTTTGCAGATACATACAGGGTCCATCTCGAAGTAGACCAGTTCCCCTCCAGTGAGGGCGATCACGACTTGACGTTGATTGACCGCGCATTTCACGATGGTCTTCTTGCCGGGTGCCTTCCACTCGTTGACGCGCTTATCCGCTCGTATGTGACGTATACCATCGGGATACACCTGAAATTTTAGATAGTTAAATCGTACGACTTCACACATCGCGTATCTAATAATAATAATGAAGCAAAATGTATATTGGATAAAAATTAAAAGATTTCTGCATTATGGTTGTGTTGGGCCTGTAATACCAGGAAAGTTTGGATTAGATCCGGAACGTTCCAACGATGCATGAGCCCGAATATTCTAGCACTTTTTTGCGACCGGCACGTGGTCGACCAGGTGCCGGAGATACCGAGTGCAATTAAAAGAAAAAGTCTACTATTCCATGCATAAACCATTCCGTCCCAAAAATATAAATTTTTCAACGTGGATTATTTTTCAGATTTTTTAAATTAATTTGCCAATTTCGAGGAATATTATTTACGATTTTGTAATTTATTTACAAATTTTATAATTTGAAATATATGTTCTAGTGACCGAAACGAGAATTTTACTTACTTCAATTTTACATTACTCTGAAACTTAGCGCAACGGTTCGATCGTAGCAATATGGGATGCATGGTTCACGCATGGAGTGCCCACCGAATACGATACGATTATAATTTTTCCATTTGTACCTGCACCAACGCGTCCTCGCCCAATGCGGAGCAACTCAAGGTCGGTGTTGTACCGAGAAAACCCGAGTCCGTCACTTCCTCGACAGTCTCGCCGATACTGAGTACGAGTGTGGCGTTCACGAAGGACACTATGATGTATGCATCATATTCCTCTGCAATCAAAATTACACAGCTCATCCTCAGTACACTCAGGGAAAGTGCGTCGTCAAATTGAATATTTGAATTTGCACAGAGAGAGAGAGAGAGAGAGAGAGATATGTAATAAGTTTTAGATAGTCCTCGATTTATTCGAAACTGCGCACGCTGTCGTGGGGGCACGGAAAGAGTCGACGGGCTTTCGTTAGTTATTATTTTTTTTTAATATTAGCTTCGTCGAACAAATCGACTCTTTAACTCGTGCCAATTTCGCGCCGACGTCCCTTACCTTTCGGTCATTCAGAGTTCTGTGGGTCAACCAATAGCGCGCTGGCATCCTGAAAGAGAGAACTGGTGTTTGATAAGAGTGTATCAAGCCACCAGGTTCATTAATATCATTTTACAAAAAAACCGATGCCGCTCGTTTTTTTTTAAATGTTCTTTTTAAAGCAAAAACTACGATTTTCTTCTCCAAGTTACATTAAGTATACTAAGTGTTCTTACCCCAAAGCTTCACGCAAATTTGTTCAAATTATAGCTTATTGAGTCACTTACAATCCACTTTCGTAAAAGAAAAGGGGGGAGAATGAAAGAAAACAAAATAATAGAAATAATAAAAGTCTACGATATTTTCGACGCTGACTGCATAAGACTGAATATTTCATACCTCGTCGCTTTAGAAACAAGTTCTTTTTTTAAAAAAAGGACAGAGATAGACGAGATATATACGTGTGTGTGTGTGTGGAAAGTAAGATCTCAACGAGAAGAGAAGAGACAAGCTAAAACTTGTCGACTGTCGAGTAAGCAAGTCAAGTGAAAACATGCAGACAAAATTGGGTACGTGGAAATTATCTTTCGACTAACCATCGATTCTTCTCTTCACGGTCCACACCGCGTTCGGGTTACCAGGCAGCTCGCTCACGGCCATCTCGGAAACCTCGAGGCCGTGGCGCAACACCCGCAACGTGGACCGCGGTCCTCGTCCGCAGGCGATGTACAACTGCGGCGTGTCCTCGTTCGCCAAATCCGCTACCTACGGCCAAAATCCAAAAAAGTTTCCCATGAAACGTCCGCTGCTCGCCTCCTCCCCCTCCCCTCCCCCCACCGAGTTAGACGCGACAAGCGAGAATATCAGACGATTACAGGCGTACGCTTGTCTCTCCAAGTATTCACTTCAATTTGCAATAACAAACCAAAGGCGACGAAGAGAATTCTGCTATCGCACATTTCCACAGGAAAGAGACGCACGAGTCAGCGTCCCCCACCTACTTTCAAGTGCGTCTAAATATCTGACTGAAAAAACACTCGTGCCTTGATTATCAAAAATAAATATATCACCTGACAAGCCATTATGGGCGAGAGGCTGTCCATTTCGTCGACCAGCACCAAATTTCGGAGCGGCCGCGGTGCGAAAAAGAAGGTGTCACCCTCCTCCAACGGCATCGCCGAGCTGAACTCCGGCTCGTCGTCGTCGTCTCCGAGATGTGCTATTTGATACAGGTAACTAAAAAAAGGACAGTGTAGTTGCGTTGTTCGCAGTAATTTGAACGCGCGCGTGCCGCATACGCGAGGGCGTTAGGTATCTTCTACTAACTGGTTGCCGAATTCCGAGGCGACGAACAGGAAACCCGTTTTCAGGACGCACATACTCGCCGCCACGGGCACCGTGTCGAAGTACTTGAGCTTGATCTCGGTGACCATGTCCTCGTCCGTCTCGAGGGTGATCTTGAAGATGTCGCCCTGCTCCGTCTGCGCGAGGAAGAAGAACATGCTCTTCGTCTTGTGCGTGGCCGAGCACACGAATATCATCCCTCGCTCGGGATCGTCCAGGTCGTTGCGGCGCCGCGGGATCGGGCAGCGTATGTCGTGCTGATCACCGAGGTTCTTGTAAGTGAGATAGTTCTCGGAGCAGATCAGCACGCCGCTCGGGCCGTCGTTGCCGCCGGGCACGGACACGAGGAAGTTGGCGTGCTCCTCCAACGGCTCGCTGTACTTCCGCACCACGTGATTCAGCCCGAGATCGAGCTCGTACAGCGTGAGCGTCTGCTGCGTCTTCACCGCCGCGTCGCCCGTGGGATCGCTGTCGGCTTCCTGAGTCACGCAAATTACGACGAGATACATTAAATAAGACGCACTTCACACAAATGTAAGAAATATATGATTGTACACACAAGTATCATCATAGTGGATACAGGATGTAATCAATGTTAATCAGTTGAAACACGGATCTCTAACTATAATCATATGATACTTGATATCGACACATATCTATTGTTCAAAATCATCTGATGACAAAAAAAAATTAGATTTACCTCGTAATCAATTTCTAAACAGGCAAACATAGGATTCTCAAAACCAACGTCGACACCAACTGTATGGTACACCAGCGTGTTGCTCTTGTGAGCTTCCAATGGAGAAGAGATTGTCAGACGAGCCTCAGCGTCTCTGTTGAGAATGTACACAAGTTTCTGCTTCTCGATTGCACCTGAAACAATAAGTACAATCTATAACACCAGATTCGCGTCAAGGCAAAATAGCAATTGTTGTCAATAAAGTACCATCATATTAACAAAAAATTGTAATCAATGTTAATCAGTTGAAACACGGAAAAAATAATCACATGGTACTTAATGACAAAGATAATATTGGATAATACAATTATTATATATAGTAACAATAAAAAATTAATAACGTTATATACAGTAGGGCTGGTGATTCGCTTCGCAGGCTTAGAACATTCAAACTTTGAAAAATACATTCGCGTAAAAAAAAATTTGAAAGTATTACAACCTGAAATATTATAAATTAATAATTAAACTTGATACTTATGCAAATAAGGAAAGATAATGATCAATAAAACAATCCAATTAAGAAAATTAAAAATAAAATAAAAACAAATTTATTCTCAAACTTCGAAGCTTCGAAGGCACCTTAAACTTCGAAATGTTGAAGTTGACTTGAAAGCTTTGCTTCGAACGCAGCAGACGCTTCAAGCATTCGAAGTAAGTAAAAAGTAACAGCCCCAATGTACGGTAATAACTTATTAAATAACTTTATTAAAGTGCGACTAGCAAGAGAAATTTGAGTTAAAATTTCTTTGTAGAACAATGTGCATTGTTCTATAAAACTGCCTAAAGTCAGAAATAAAAGTATACATATACAGTACCTATCATAACCGCTCTCCCTTTCGGATCGATGGCAAGATACTGGCCGGGGACGATGCGTCGGCATCCACTTTTGCCGAAGGTCTCCTGATGGACCTTCTCGAAGATGTTCTTGGCGGGGATGTACTCCAGTATCACTATACGCCCGGAGTCCGAGCCGACGACGATGTAGTCCTTCGTCGCGCCGGTGAGCCTGAACGCCATGAGCGACCGGACGATGCCGAACACCTCGACGGTCAGCAGCGTGTGGACCTTGCCGGTGTTCGGGTCAGGTCGCAGCAGCTCCAGCGACTTGCCGCGGGAGACGAGGATCTCCTGCATCTTGCTGCCGGAGAAATTGCCGTGCACCGCGTGCGTGATGCCCGTGGCACGTTGGAGGGTCAGATTGTACAGATACATCTTCGGTAAGCTCTTCGCGCTTCAGATCGTCGCCTTGTATCTCCCACTTCCGATCGGTGTGAATTAACCGGGGGAGGGCTCTTACGCTCTCGAGAAGAGTCTCCGGGAGTCCATGCTCTGAAAACGTACGTACACGCGCGTGTACGCGCTCAATAAAGCTTGATCGACTCTCGACACGACGCGCGCGCGGGTCGTCGCTCTCGTCACGCGGCCCGGAGAGATTAATTTCGAGACGTTATAGCGTGTCTCGCGGGAAGTAACGCGAAAAAGGAGGGCGGCCACGAGGGCGGACGGCCGCCGGGAGTGTTATTTTACCTCGATCGAGCCTTCGACGCGACGACGCTCGGCGATGCCTCCGGATTTTCTCGGTCGTGATCGAAGAACCGGGTGTGCGCAGCACCCACCGCCGTGGCCGTTGGCAAGAGAAACGGAGGGAGCGAAGTTCCCGGCAGCGCGGCGTTTGCGGATCTTACGCTGGTGTGGCGGAGCGGAGGGAAGGGGGGTCTCCGGCCGGAATCCGCCGGAAACGACGCGCGCCTGTCGCTCGCGCTATGCAAGCGCGGTCAAGCGTGATTGGTGGAACCCCGCTGGTGTCGCGACGCGCCAACTCAACGATTTACGAATGTTTATCACGAATGCCACATTCGGTATATCCATTGATAACGTCATGTTTAAAAAAAAAGGATTTATATACATACATGTGCATATTTAATAGAAAACTGCATCTTTTATGGACTCTAGTTAAAAAAAATTTATGTCCCTAGGAAACAAATCCACCTATTGGGTGTCGCATATTCGACTTGGAATGTATTTTGAAGTTTTCGAAATCGAAATTCTTCGATCGTAATTCTTGTATGATATTTTTAAAATGTCCATTAAAGATACACAATTTTTTATGAGAGTAAAATAATGGAATATCAAAATAGTTCCACGCAATCGATTCGACAATTCTTTTCTATGCTATAAGTGATGAACAGCTTCTTATTAATTGACAAAAACAAACCTGCAAAATTGTAAATATTTTGTTTTTTTTGAATATCATATATAAAAAAGGAAAACAAGAAAAATATATATATATATTTCTTTCTTCACTTTATTTTTTTATCAATCGTGTTAAAAAGATATATATTAATACTTTAACTTTCCTAGTCAACCATTAAATTACAAATATATACAAAATTTGCAACGATTATTAAAATACATTATTAGAATACAACATCTAAATTCTAATTCCGTTCGAAACTTACGGAATTTGAATTGAATGATCAACTCCAAATAAAATTTTGGTAGACTGACCATTCGAAAATTTATACACGGAATTTAAAAAGCTGCGTAATTTTAATGGATTCAATTTAGCAAAAAAATATCATTTCATAAAATATAATTTCATTATATCGATAATCTTAATCATAATTATCAAGTATTGAAATCTATCAGCATCGAGATTTGAATTCATTAAAATTCCGCTGTTTTTAATACTTCATTCTAATTTTTTTTTTAATTTTACTCAATCCTTCACATTTTCGAACGTGTCGCGTCATAACCGAAATTATTTTCCTTCTCGTCCTGCAGTATCGGTCGTACTGAAAAGTACTTGAACTTGTAGACCTGCGGCACCAGGCATTCGAGCACCATGTGAGTGATAGCGCCGGTGAATCCCCAGACACGGTGCTTACCACCCAGGTAAGACGGCAGGGTCACAGCCGGATGGCGAAAAGCCGTGAAACGTATCAACTCGGGATCGCACAATTTCTGCAGGCTCACCACGAACACATCCTCCACTTCGTCCCGGTTGATCTCCAGCTTCTCCGGCACCACCTCGCCGATGTAGGCCAGCACCGGCATCACGTTGACGTCGGTCTTGCCGATGAGGTTTCCCATGGTCCAAACGTCGATCTTCTCCTTGGGGATTTTCAGCTCCTCCCAGGTCTCTCGCAGCGCGGTCTCTCGTAGATCGACGTCGTCCTCGTCGCGCATGCCACCCGGGAAGGACACCTATAACAAACATGCGGTTGAGAAAATGAAGTCTCGCGCGCCTCGTCGTTTTAAAATAAATTCAATAACTCGAATAAATTTAAGTGAATTTAGTAAATGCTAATTATTTTTAAAGTCATAAATTTATGCAAATAAGCATATATATTTTACATTTACAAATTCTTACTCTCTGGATTATTCGAATTGCAATTTATATAATCGAATTATTCAATTTATTTCAAAATGACAGGGGCGAGACTTAATTTTTTACAAAAATATCTGTTGTAAATAAGCATGTATATTTTAAATTTGCAAATTTTCACTCTCTGGATTATTCAAATGCAATTTATATAATCGAGTTATTGAATTTATTTTAAAACGACAGAGGTGAAACACTTAATTTTCCCAAGAATATCTGTTCACTTAAATTCACTCGATTCAATAACTCGATTATGTAAATTGCATTTGAATAATTCAGAGAGAGTAAAAAAATTGATAAATGTAGAATATATATGCTTATTCGCATAAATTTATGACTCTTAAAATAATTACGTTAAAAAATACAAATAACTGACTTGTCCGCGATTGGACGTGAGCCTCATGGATCGCAGCGTGTACAAGAAACCGAGTTCTCCTTTATGTAAACATAATGGAACCAGAACGGCCGCTTCCGCCACTTTGTGCTTCACCTTCGGCACCTGGATGCGCTTGAATTTCTCGATGCAATCCTTGCGATTGCTCTCCGACAGCACCACCTCGGGCTTCAGTGCGGGGTCGATCATGTCAACACGTTTCGTCGCTATGGACTTTAAATAAAAACAATTAAAATTATTTTTATGTAGTATTAGTACATATAAGTATATATATACAAAATATTAATAAAATTAATAAAACTTATAAAATAAAATATAATGTATAACAATATATATATATATATTTTTTTATAAGTAAACATATATAGGTTTAATCCTATAAGCAAAAATATATTAATACAAACATATAATTATTTAGCTGCGTTCGGGGAACGTACGTTACCTGCAGCGCTATCGCATCTGTTCTTGTTTTTTACGATAATCTATTTATACTTAACAATAAAGATAATATATATAATAATATATATAATAGCGTCTGCAGCGCACTTTCTGAACGCTACCGATGATTGACGGTGTCGTAGCTTTTTTTATCTTATAGTAAAAAAAAAAATTGCGCACCGACAATCATCGGTAACGTGTATACAGTCGTGACTCGTGAACAGATCGGTTGCGACACTTTTTTTTAATAGGTTTCAACAAACGCGCTAATATTTTGCAAATACAAACCACGATTGGTGTTACTGTATAGATTAAGGATAGAGTACATCGTGGTTCGCATTTGCAAAATATTATATTTACCTACATAAAATATATATTATGTATATTGAATATGTATTGGAAATCTATAGAAAAAATGTCGCAACCTATTTTTCCACGACTGTGAACAGAACAGGGGCCCGGATATTATATGTATCAATATAAAAGTTGAAATTCAAATTTTTCACTTTCAAATTTCTCCCGGCCCATTTGCTCTAACCGCACTCAACTGCACCCAACTCTGCACTTCGGTCGGTATTTCATAGTCCGCGTTTTTATTTCAAGACGCGGGTCTCAAGTAATATCTCGGAAATGTTATAAATACAGCTCCGTGATCGGTGTGCATATCTTAAAGTTGTAATAAATATATATGTATAAGAATGGACTATGAACCCTCGACCTGTTTATGCATGTACCGGCCTTCAACCTAATTCATGACAAGTTCATATAGTGACGCACATGGCCGATGGATGGCGGCGGTCCGACGCAAACGCAATGCGCGATCTCGGGACTCTCTCTCTCACGCGATTCTTGAAATGCTCGCGACGGTACGTGAAAGTACTTACGAAGGCACGTAGCAAAGGGCGTATCGACGCCGCGGGTGACTGCATCAATCGGCGGATTATCGTGACATAAATCGCTCAACTCCCAGCACGGCCACGACGCGCGAGGCACACGAGCGAGAGCCTCAATGGACTGAATGGACTACTGTCAACTGAAGTGAAGTTCGGAAGCAGTTCGGGAAGCAGGTTAACAGATGTCTCCCCTATAAGCAGGTTTTTTGCCAACTTATTTTATTATGTTGAATAAAAAAAAAAGATGATTGGGTAACGATATATCAATGTTCATTCGTATTTTATATTTCTATTAAATAAAATACATTAATTGACGATATTAAAAGTATCATATAGGAAGATGAATTATTAAAATCGTTGATAATTATTTATTTTATCAATTCGCGGTCTGCAGCGTATCATTTTTTTATATTACATATTTCTTGTAATAATAAAATACAAAGATATATATGTACATTGCAGGGTGTATTTTAAATAAAGCCCTCTAATTTATAGCGTTATTTCTTTATACATCAAATATAATAAATATATAAAAAATTGACAAGTCGAAATTAACAAAGCTTGAACGATTTTTTTTTAGAATGCTCAATAAGTAGCGTGCTTACTAGCGTTATTTCTTATAAACAAATTGAGTCAAAAAGTCCTGAACGATTTATCTCTACAATGCTCACTGAAGCAGTAATTATTATACTATATATATATATATATATGCAGTATATAGTGATCGCTTTATTTAGCACTGTAGAAAAAAAATTCAGTACTTTTTGAATCAGTTTTTTTACAAAGAATAACTATTATATAATTAGTGGACGCTATTTAAGATACATCCTATATATGTACATTATAAAATAATATAAAATATAAAGAATATAAAACATATATGTATAAAGATAATATTAATAATGAAGACAAAATATGAGATAAGAAAAAGATATGATTATAATATATATATTTCTATATTTTGTAATCAAGGGAAATAAAGAGTGTGAAAACAATATTAATAATTGTTTGAACGAAGTTTATTCAAAATTTTCCACAACGTCTGTGGTATTAATTATTACTATTATTATTCCTTTACTATTATTCTTATTTTACACGTCCTTATAGCACAAAAGTTAATGTTATTACAGCAATATTGCAACGTTGATTGCTGCAGTATTACTAGAACGTTCTGTGCTGCGTGAACGCGCACACAGTCCTCAAATAATTGCACGTGCAATTCACATACATACCTATTCACGCACTCATACACACAAGTTTCTAAGTTTAAATATCGGCCTTATCACATATGCAAAAAAAAAGGAGGGAGTAAGCGTAATCATCGCGGTCACTGTCAGTTTATCTTAAAATAACAGTGACAATGCGAAAATTAGGTCCGCTTCTTTTAACTGCGTTACATTGTATTTTCTGCATTTATAATTAAAGATAAGATATTTATTTAAATTTACCCTCTCCCGAGAGTTGGAAGGAGGTAAACAGGCGCAGAAAAATATACAGAAAGTGCAGTTAAAAGAAGAAAAGGTAACATACCTATTTTAATTTAACGTTACGATACAGGATGTACTTCTTTATGAATCTCGACGGACGATTAAAAATGCGATAATGACAAACGGAATGTTAAAAATTGTAGAAAAGTGTGTGGAAATACATATGCAAGAAAATGTGAAAGGGAACGCGATCGTGTTTGTTAGCTAAATTCGTGCGACTCTTCGTTTTTTCTATTAATAAAAATTATTCCCTGGCGAGTATGACAGTTAACGGAGCGTCGAATCCTAGTTAAAACATTAAAAATCGCACAGATCTTCTGGATCAGCTGATAACTTGAAGAACTCATTTCCAAACAGTCTTCGATCTATATTAAAAAAAAAAATTGCACTGATTTTTATCATACATCTTTTCGAGTAGCGTCACTGATCCATATAATCTCAAAACAGCCTCCCTCTTTTAAGACTGTTTTTCGGAGATCCAAATTCGCATTGAAAAAGAAAAGAAAACCGCGAGAAGCGGTACGAAACTTTTGTGCAATTTTTTTTTAAAGGTCCGATTCGGCAGAGACTTGATTCGGAAAAATGAGCAGTTCGATAAATAAATTTGCGCGCGGATAAATAAATTCTTCGTTAATTCGTCGCAACAGACGGCCGTGGTGGTTGCGGTCACACGTTGGAGTTCGCCTCTCGCCACGTGACCTGGCTGCCGCCGAGGTTCTGCAGCCGCAGGCTGTTGCCGGGGCTGTCGTCGCCCTCGTAGCCGGCGTTCACGTGGCCCGACGCCGACGTCGCGGCCGGGTGGCCCTCGAACACGTCCTTCACGGATATCTGACTGCTGCGCGACGGCCGGCCCTGGATCCCGAGGGGGTTGCCCGCCACGCCGTAGATGTTGTTCGCGCCCAGGGTCTGCATCTGCGACTTCCGGCGCATCGCTATTATGCTGTTGCGCCTGCCCTCGAACGCCTTGAACGCCTCGCGTCGCGTTGACATGTTCCTCGAAAGGCCTGGGACGGGGATTTTTAATCGATATTAGTTTTTATTCGAAAAGCGACATCGCTATTTTTAAGGATATTCTGGTGAAAACATTTTTTAAATATCTCATATTTTTAAGAATTTTTCATATTTTAAATTTAGATTTATGAAGAGATTTCTGAAAAATATTTTAAACTCTTTAAAGCTGTTTTATAAATTTTCTTTTTATAAATTAAAGTATAGGAAATCTTAGAATACTTTAGAATTTACATATAAAAATTTCTAGAAAAGATTTTCTAAAAGTCCCTTTATATAAAAAATCTGTGAGATCTTTCAAAAGTTATAAAATTAATAAAATTATACATCAGACATTTTGAAAAATTTTGAAATATACATAGAAATTTTGAAAAATTGTGTGAAGAATTCTAAGAAAAATTTTCGTCGGGGTATCATATTCGTATTTTTTTCTGCTATAGTTTATATTTAATCTTGGGAGGTTGTACTTTGTCTCTTACCCGCGCCCTCGTTCATGCTGAAGAAACGTTGCCTGAAGGCGACGTCGAGCGTGTTGATCGCCTGCGTCTTCCTGCGACTCTTCTCCAGGTTTCGGATCGTTTTTCGTCTACCGGGCCCGCTACCGCTGCCCTCCTCGTAGTCGCCTTCTATCCCGTCCAGCCTCTGGAGATCTCTCACTATGTCGACCGCGTGTTTCGACAGCAAGGCCTCCTCGGAGAGATCCTTCGTCTGCGAAGATCATTAAGATCATTCACGCGAAACAGTTCAAGACGTGTCAAGTTGTTACAATCAAAAATACCTCATATTTAAGGCATTTAAAACGATTCTTTTTTACCAAAACAAATCTCTTGCAACAATTCAACAAAATAAGACACATGTAATTTTATAAAAGATGTTACGCGCACCTTCTTGCAACAGTCTAAGCTGGTGCTGGCCAGAATGTGAGCCAGCGTGCCGAATCGGTGGAACAACATCGCGGTGAATTGTATGACCAATATCAGCGCGAAGAAGAAGACGAACACAAGGCCGATCGGCTCGAGTTGCAGGTACTCCTTCGAGATGTGCACCTGCAAAATTGCACGTGTGTAGAACGCGTTGCGACACGCGACGAAGCGTTATTTTGGAGGAGCAATGCCCGATGGCGACCGAAAGTCTGAAGACCTCTCATTATAATTTTTTATTTAATTAAATCTCTAGGAATAACCTTAACACTTTAACTCATTAATTTAATATGATAAATTAAATTAATTTGATTTAAAAAAATTTCTCAGAATCAGCTGATTTATACTGTTATCGAAGTTATTTAAGTTGTTATTGAAATTACTATCATATTAAATTAAGTTAAATTTAAGTTATTCCCTTAGAGAGATTTTACCTTCGAATTATTTTTTCGTGATTCGTAGAGGCTTCATTTTTTAAACTATGTTTGACAAGGAATGATCGATCGCCATCGGAAATCGTCCCTTCGTGAGTACGTGCATCGATTAAAAACAATTATAAGTACAAGGACAGGTCGTTAGCTAGTTAAAGATTATACGTAATCATCAGTGTCTTTCGTGCGTGTTAAGATTAACACACTTATGTACAAACACATATACAAAATATGTACACACGCATACACGGATTTGCGAACGAAGTAAGACGGGCTCGGTTGAACCCTCCCGATGAGAAGACACTGAAAGCAACCATCGCGTTACGCGTATGTACGTTAGTGGTGCTCGTCCGCTGCCACAGCTGGCAATATGGTGCATGGTCAAAGTTAGACACAACAAAAGAGAGAAGAGACGCAGATCCGAGAATCTACAGGAGTAGCCTGTAGAACCTCTGAGAGTCCGCGATCCCAAGACTCTTATACAGAGAGACAAATTTATTCTCTTCAGTACCATTCAGTTATTTTTTTAATAATAATTTTAATTGTGGGATAATATTAGTTTTTTTAATAATGACATTTCTATTAGAAAAATATAATTAACGATAACGATCTTTACGTGATAATAAATAACAATTTTTACTAATAATTTTTAGGCATCAATTTAGGTGATAATAAATGATGTTAATATTTAGATTTTTAATGATATTACATAGAATAAAAGTATAAAATTATTTCTTTTTTCTCACAAAATCGAGAGTGGAAAAAATTGGCTTTCTACCCAAAAATTATTAGCTTCAAGTCTTTCGAGGAAAATAGGTCTCTCGATATCTATCTTTATCTCTACATCGATTATGTAATCAAATTAATGGGGTTTAATTCAATTTCATGAATCGATCTCGCATAATTTTGGTGAGAAGGGATAATGTTATTGTGACATTAATCTCTGGTTATTCCTAGTTCAGGGTCACGCCAATTCCATTCCATTCGAACCGGGTGAGGGTGAGGTACCTGTGCGTGAGAATATTAATCGGAGCACCTTCCACGTGCTGTGTCGAACGCGCCAGTTTGGTTAATGACACAAAAATATATGTACACATTATAAATCAGGTGCAATATCATCACCGAGGTACTCCGAGTGCTCGCCCCCGACGCACCGGGATGCTCAGATAATCCAAATTTTAAAAAATTGAAAACTCAAAATGAAGAATCGATAAAGTTTTAAGAAAAGCGTCGTAAGTTTTATCAAACTTCAATTATTATCATTATTATGATTCCCATCTTTATTTATTTATTTTTGAATTAATTAAATTACTAATTAATTATTCAAATTACTTTTAATTTAATTAATTACTTTTTAATAACGTATATGTAATTAATCTCTTGATTCGATAATGTTGACAAGTCTCATTTGCGAGCTCATAAAATAATAATAAAAAAAAAATAAAAATTTTTAAAAATGACCATCCGGGTACATCGAGGGCGGTTTTAACGAGACACCGTGTGTTTTAACGGGACACCACCATGGCACCGTGGACTTAGTCCTTTTCCCCCTGATGCTTGATCATCGGATACCTCCGAGGTCTCCTCGATGTAGGTGATGTTGGTCTTGACGCCGAGCGGCCAGATAACGTGCAGCTGATCCTTGTTCAGCTGTAGCAAGAATACGATCAGAACGAACAACGCATTGAACATTAGAAATGCGAACACGCTCTTGTTGCGCAGCTCGATCAGATCGGCGGCGACCCTGGCCTGTGTGTTGCGCGCGGGTAAATGCGGGAGAAACAGAAAAAAAGAGACGGCACAAGATTAGAATAGTAAGTATAATAAAACTCCGTCGATCAGTTCATCGATCCAACGATCCTTCGTTATCTCGTTTCGGTTAACGATCCGTCCGTTTTTGATCGCGCGATCGATCGTTTCGCCCCGTAGACTTTTTTTTGCGGATCCAGAAGAATCGGATCAGGTTTGGACAGATTTGGATCGTTAACGTTTAGATTTGAGAGATAAATCCATGATCGAGGGATGCGAGGCGTCGACGGAGCCGGTTTTACCTCCATTGTGGTATGGTCATATGTGACGTTCGTCTTGATGCCGAATGGCCACTTGATGTGCAACAAGTCTTTGTTCAATTGCAGCAGAAAGACGATCAGGACGAAGAGGGCGTTCATCATAAAAAACGCAAAGACGCTCTGGTCGCGTAGGTCCTTTAGATCTTTGGCGATTCGTGCCTGATTCGGGGCAGCATGGCGTATATATATTAATTCAAATGGATGAAAAGCACGTAATTAATAAATACTTTCTGCGAAACATAAAAAGAAATACGATTCAAAGAACAAACCTTTAATCTTTGAGCCCTCAATTTGGTTTAGGCATCGTTAATTCTTCCCGATTTTTACTTGAATTACTTTTGACCATGTCACGAACTCTCTCTCTTTTCCAATTTAATTTATTTAATTAATTTTCTTCAATTGTTAATTTTATTATTTATTTTTGCTTGCCAATTATTGAAAGATCAGAAAGGATCTTTGAGATTTTGATTTTTCAGCAATCTTACAATCGGTTCTCTCATCCAATCGGAAGAAACAAGTTAATTAAAGTCCAAATGTAAATATAATTCACAAAGGTAAATTTCGTTTCTTCATCCTTGATCGACAGCTTGCAGTGACAAAGACGTATCGCGGATTGTATTTCGCGAGAAAACTCGTTCTGATCCCGAAATTTTATTCTATTACAAAATTAATTCATATTACTTATGTTAATTATACTTTTCTAAAAAAAATTTATGAAATTTCAAGTTAAAGTGTAAAATAAAAATCCTTTTGACGTGCAATAAATGTTTGTAAAAATTGATTTCTGAATTAAAGTTCCGAAATTTAAAAAAATCTGAATCTTATATAATAGTAAATAGAATCTAAAGAGATACTTTTTCAGGCTGACGCTCGGCGCTCATTTTTAGCGTCAAAACAGATTACGTGATCAAAACTGGCGTTTGTTGTTCAATTTTAATTATATGATCTGTTCTGGCGCTAAAAATGAGCGTCGAGCGTCAGCATGAAATGGTATCTTAATAAATCTTTTTCGCACTTTTTTTTATGGAAGTTCGAAAAAAGATTGAATAAAGCCCCAGCGTTTCGTCGCGTTACCTTCTCCGCCTTGTCGTCGTCGATCGGGTAGAGATACTTCTCCAGCAGATCCTTCCAGAAGTGCTCCTCCTGCGGCGACAGCACGTCGACCTCGCCCTTCTTCAGGCCGTCGTCGCTCAGCCAGTACGGTCGCGAGAGGAAGTTGCTGACGTCGCGATGACCCTCGGTATTCTGACTGGTCACCGTCTCCGTCTCGCTGCCCTCCTCGTCCTCGGGATCCTCGCCGATGGCACCCAGGTGGTCGGCGGTGCGCGAACCCACGGAGGACGCCCTCCTTCGTCCGGAAGTGTGGCTGTGAGGGTCCACCGCTCTGTAAATCAGAAGGTCACATAATCGATCCTCAAGAGTTGATTTAATTGAGATTTAAGTGCAAGCTAAAATATATATAATTAATAAATACATTAAATATATATTTTAATTTGTTCAATTTTAAATGGTACTGCTTAATATATGAGCAACAAAAAAGGATGTTTTTAATCCACTTTTTGTAGAGAGCTGAGATGCTTTCTAGCGGTCTACTTTTCGACAACGTTACTCGCACAATTCTACTTTTTCGCCTCGTAATCTGAAGTGCGCCTTTCACTTTTGCGAGATCACTCTGAAGAATTTATCTTACTGCTGACTCTATAATTCGCGATAAACTTTCGTCGATCCGGATCATGCCATCGTAAAATGCCGTTTCTTTCCTACCTCTCGATGGTCTCGAGTCTCTTGCCGAGCTGCTCGAGTGATTCGGCGATCGCCACGAGCTGCTGCTTCTCGGCGGACGGCTTGCCGTGGGTGCACAGCAAGCACTTGAACAAGCCGGCCAGCGATATCTCGATGGAGCCCTGATCGTCGTCGTTGGTGCCCGCGCCGTTCTGCAGGAAGCCCAGCAGGGATTTCTGCTTGGCCTTGCGCTTCGCCTCCTCCGCCTCCCGCTTCTCCTGCTCGAGTTCCTGAATCGCGATCGAACGATGATAAATCGCGATGACAAACGACACGATCCTTACTCACCGTGTGTTTTTCATTAAGTAGTGCGAGATTAAGTTAGTCAAATAGTTAATAGATCATAAAAGATAGAATATTACTAAAGCGACGATCCACTAAGCGGTTTTAAGAAAAAGATTTCATTACAAACGAAATAATTTTAATAATAAAAAATAATCTTCCTTCAAACTTTTAAATTTAGATTATTATGCATTTATATACATTTAATTGCTTTGATATACATCTAATAATTAAGTTAATAAAAAGATTAAATTTTATATTTTATATATACCTGTAATATTTGTACAATTTAATTAACTGAAGTCATAGAAATCAACTTCAGGTGATTAAAAAGTTAATCGGATTAATAAAATTCTAAAAATTTTTGATTTTTTACAGTCAACCAAAGTTCTCGATGCGCCTCAGTTGTATTCTTCTAATGGGTTAATTATATAAGAAACATACAGTAATTCCAGTATATGCAAAGCTGCGAGAACCGATAGACTCGCGAGAAATATCCTGATTAAATGTGATTAAATAGATTAGTCGATGTTAGAAAAGGCAGAGGGTGAGATCGATTAATTACCGCCGGCCTCTTCTTCGCCTCAACTTCCCGCGTGCCCCACGAGATGATGTTGAGATTACAGAGCGAGTATATGATTAGCAGCACGTACATCGAGGGCACCATCAGGTAATAGAACAGACCGTGCGCCAGGCAATAGATCTCGTACGGGTGCAGAATACCCGCGATCACGAACTCCCCTATCACGAGGAACAGGAACCACGCGCTCGGCGACATCACGCTCTCCTTCACGATGTTTATCGCGGTCGCGACGATCACCGCGGCCATCACCATCGCGTACATGGTGCTGATCACGGCGGCCACCATCACCTGTCGTCAAGGACCGCGAAACGTTTCTGTGTGCGTTAGTCGCCTTCCATTTTTGGAGTTAAGCGAAGCTGAAGCCGAAGCGCGACGACGGTTCTTATACGACAAAGCGAATAGGAAATTCGGGGGATTGTTCGACGAGAACACCGGAATTAATTCTCCTATATTTCCAGAACGCGGCCTCATCCGATTCGTGCACTGCAGAACGTTGAAGCTGCTTCAATAGCGAGACAATTTAATTTATAGCCTATTTCTCTAAATTATTACAATTAAATTTATTTGATAAATACATAAAATATATTATTTTTGTAACAAAGTTATCCTTACTTTGCACAGCAACTCATGATTTTTATGATGAAAGAAATAATTCGATTTGTGAGATGTTAAATATTTTTCATAACAGCGCCTAAAAAAAAAAAAATAAAAATGAAGCGAGAATCCAAGAACCTGAACCTTCACCCTTATCCAAAGCTCCGTTCACCAGAGATGCGTCCCCGTTTAGTTACGACTCAGTGCCAAAGATAAGAAATAAATTAAAAAAAAAAAGAAAGAAAAGGGTCGACACTGACGAACCTTCTTGGTCTTTTTCGTTTGGACCTCCCTGGTGCCCCAGGACACAACATTAAGATTGATGATGGAGTACAGTATGAGGAGCAAGTACATAGACGGAATGGACAACAGGTATATGATGCCGGGCACGATGCACCAGAATTCCTGCGGGTGCAGGCAGGCCGCTATGAAGAATGAGCTCGACAATGATATTAGGAAGATCGCCGAGGGCGAGCCTATGCCGTCCTCGCCGAGCTGTAGGGCGGTACCTACGATCACCGCCATCATGATCATCGCGTACGCCGTCGACAGGATCTGGGCGCATAGAAGCTGAAAACCACCCCACTCTTAATTCCTTTCCCGTCCCACACGCTCGAAGAAGGCATCCCTTCAAGGAACTTCACGGACTCGAGTAGCAAGTACGTCAAAAGTCGCGAATGTAGCACGTGAAAATGAATCGACACTGCGTGAGAGAATATATTATATGCGACATTATTAGATACGCGATTATTTTATAATTATAAGCATTCTGGTTCTAATGAAATTGTGAATTCCGCGAGCGAAGGACGATCACAAGATGCGCGAGACGAGAAGCACGATATGCACGAACACGTGTACACAGATGCGACGGACGCGAAAGAGGGATACTTACCTGTATGTTCGCTTTGCACGTGAAGCAGACGATCATGAAGAGCAAGATGGGAATGATGTTGTAGTAGAAGCTGGTCCAGTTGTCGATTTTGAAGGCCGCCACGAAGGCACCCACCAACATGAGGAAGATCGTGCCGGGTCCCAGAATCGTACCGCCTGTTTCAATGAAACACAAACAAAAATATTTTAATTGACATACTCTTCAATTATAAAATACATATATCCTGAGTGCATTTTTAAATTCTAATATTTAAAGTTAAAGTAATATTCTACATATATAAATATGTTATATGCGTACAACACAAAAAATTGAAATATTCCAATATTTTGACGTTACTTTTACGTAAAATTAAAAAAAAGTATATATTTTTATTTTATGCTAATTAATACTAATGATCTGTTTATTTCATGTTAATCAAATTAAATTCTATCATGCCATATTTCAATTCATTATCTAATTGAATTAAGAGAAATACTTGCCCATCAGTAAGATTTGATACGAGATGTAAGGCAGCGAGATATTGTCGTTGATTTTGATCGTGCGTTTCGCATCCATTAGCAGATCCATAATATTCGCAATGGTCGAAGGCACCCAACGGCGTCGTTGATTATAAAATTCGTTAAATCCTTCCGGTGCGTGGGTGTAAGCGTCGCTCGCTGCGGAATATTCCACCTAAAGAGTGCAAAAATTATATTAAAAAAATAAGAATAACTTTAAATAAACCATATATCATTACATTAATATAATAAAAATCGTAAAGACAAAATACTAATATATAGCACATCAATTACAAATCAAGAAATAAGTAATAATTAGCTAAGATAAACCGAGTCATGTACACGAGAAGATCGGTGCGTACCCTGTATCCACGTTGCAGCAGCAACGTGCACAACCAGCGGTCCTCCCCCTGATCGTACTGCACGTAGTGCCTCGCCTCGTCGGACCTGGTCGTGTACTTCTTCATCACGTTGTCGTCCATCAGTGCCTTGCCGCGGAACAGCGAGAAGCATCCGGGGCTGCAGAGCACGCAGCCGATCATGTGCTCGGTGGCCTTCTGCAGCCAGTGACCGATCGCGTACTCGAACATTTGATACCACACCATTGGCCCTGGAACATTTGCGAAAAAACGTTTCATTTTGCGCGATCGACGCAATATTTAAATCAATTTAATTGTAATTACTTTTTTTACTTGTTCCATATACAATCGTAATGTTTTTTTTTAATTTACCGACTTAATTTCAATCGAGACGCTAGCGACTTACCGGAACCGACTGGATGAATGCGACCGCAAGCGGCGCCCAGGTTCTTATTCTTCTTCATCAGGTCCACGAGAAGCTTCACCGCCGCTGGCTGAAAGTCGATATCCCCGTCGAGCGTCAACAGAAACGTATTCTCGGCGATGACTTCCTTGCGATCGACGCTGATCGGTAGTTCCATTAGCCGATGACCGAGCAGGTAATACATGTACATTACCTAAGTCGGGAATTGAAAGTCCGTTTACGTGGCAATCTCTAGCATTTTTAACAAGAGCGATTTTACGTAATTGACTTCAAATAAAGGCTCATATGAAGCCTAAAACATTTCTTTTTTTTTTTTTAAATTAAAGTTTTATTTATCAATTTAAAGTTTATTTTGAACGTTACCTGACTCCATCGCTTCCTGTGCCGAATCTTGCTCTTGTCCTTCAGATGGGCGATCATCTTCGTCTTTCCGGGAAGGGTCCAGACCAGTCGTCCGCCGTACGGGGTCGGATACTTTTTCGGCGCCCTCACGTGCATCCTCGTCTTGTGCACGTCCGACGCGGCCTCGTCCAGCGTGCCGACCAGCAGTTTCACGAACCTGTTCACCTGCGACTCGTTCTCGTCGTGATCGGACAGCTCGAACGCGTCGTCGAAGAATATATGAGCTGGAGAAATACATTACTCATTTATGTGTGCGAAGCCATAACAGACGATAGACATATTTACTAGATTGCTAATGAAACATATTACTCACTTTCGAATTCGTAATAATCGGGATCGACGACCTTGAGGTACTTCTGGGCGACGCGCCGCGCGCACTGGTCCTCGTCCAAGCGCAGGATACTCTTCAGGAACTCCATCATCTCCTCCTTGTTCTCGTGCCACATGGTAGCGCAAGCGTAGATCCTGGTTACGTGATCGCTGCTCTTCACCGCGGACGGAGGTGTGGTCGAGCCGTCCGTCTGCTCGTAGATCGTTTCGTAGTCGCCGTCGCCCTTCTCCTTTTCTATCTCCGCGAGATCCTGTCAATTGACCCAATATCGATTAATTTAAAAGCTAATCCTTGTACAGAATCTCCCACAAGAATCCATGTCGTTATTCCAGAAATATTAATATTGCTAGAATATTCTTGCCATATGAAAATATAAATGCTTAGATTAATAATAATTCATATTTCTATACTTAGGCTAATGAATTATTTTAAGAACTGAGAAATTAAGGAATTAATATTAACGTATAGTTTATTTTATTTTGAAAATTATATCGCAAGCCGTTCCGAGATACTCACTTCGACCTTGACTTCCGGCTGGTCGTCCCTCCTCCGGTTGAGACCCATCGACTGGTCGATCAGCAGCGAGTCGTACATCGGCACGACGAACAGCTTCTCCGTGGCCGCGAGACGCTCGCATTTTGGTGTCCAGATGTGCAGAGTGATCCAGGTCTGCGACAGCAGCCACAGCAGCCACACCCAGGCGTACTGCTTCGACACGAAGTCGTTGAGGAAGTTCGGCAGCGGCGACTCGTAAAACAGATAATCCGGTATGGTGCCGTGGAAGAAGCACGGGTCGTTGTTGCGGAGGCCGCATGCGGCGATCAGCAGCGAGATCGACACCGGTATGGTGAGATTCACCGGGAACGCGTAGCTGAAGCCCTGAATCAGGATCTTGCACGCGAACTTGCCTGAATGGACCGGTTACAATGTTAGAAGTTCATTAATTAAAAAAATATTTTCAATAAAGAGGAATTTTTAATTAATAATATTTTCAATTGCAATAATATTTTAATTAATAATATTTTCAAATTTCGAGTTTAATTAAAAAGTGTGCTTTCACGAGACGATCGACATTTAGCTTGCTTATTTTGCAAGAGCCATAATTAGCAATATATATCGCAAGTCTTGTTGCTACTCTTGTTATTACTCTTAAGTCTCTTTTCCCTCCTCGGGCTTCAACCCACACGTGAATTCGCTTACCGAACACGTAGGCGAAGTAAGCGCCGGCGATCTGCAGTAGGAGGACGAAGACGGGCGTGTTGAAGTCGGCGTTGACGACCTCGGTGATGTCGCCCGTCAGAATATCCGAGAGATCGGGCAGAGCGCCGCCGGTTATCGACTTGATGGACGTGACCGTGATCTTGTGGTCGCCGAAGGCGCTGCTAAACATGGTGAAGAGATGCCCTACGTTCTCCCCTTTGAGGTGCAGTATCAGCAGCGAGCTGATGAGGAACGCCACGATCTTCCAGACGGATACGAGCATGTAGGTGAAGTAACGCGTCAGCCGCATCTCCTTCTTCACTCTGCCGAGCGATCTGATTAGAGCTGCGAGGAGAAAATTGGGAGAAATATGAAGGAAGACGTTTCAAACATAATGTCTGTGACCAAAAATAATGCTTTTAACCATGACATGTGAATGAATTTAATGATTTAATTAATACGAGATTGTAATTAAAATTCAAGCATGAATAAAATTATTTTAATTAATGTAGTGTTAATTAAAAGGGATAACAGATACATGATTAATTATTTAATTAGATTAAACAGATACGTGATTAATTATTTAATTTGTTAAAGAGGCTAAATATTGTACGAAAAGACTAAAGGGTTTTTTTTCTTATTTCTTCTATATAATTTTTAATTTTTGGTATAAAAAGATTTGAACCGTGAAGAATTGAACGGAACTCACCGATCCGGCTCTGCGTGGAGACGTAATTTTCCCACCAGCCGCAGGAGACGAGTATCAGCGCGACGGGAATCAGCCATAGGGACCGTCTCGAGCTGTCCAGGAAGGGCCAGAGGACGAAGCTGGTCGCCTGGGCGGCCAGGGCGGCGATGTCGACGAGAACGAGGACGAATCGTTTGGACTCGTCTTTACTTTTGTTACGGGAAAGTAGGCCTGCGAGAATGCGCGCAGCGTGTATTTCACTTCGCCTAGCGTGATTCCCGCTACTTTCATGATTATTCGCTCGGCAATACGGAACCCGTGGAAAAATCGAACGCGAAAGTCGGGCGATCGCGATCGAAAGCAAGCGGATCCGTCCGCGTTTCTTTTATTTCGATATCAATTATTGATCTTACTACGTTATATAATGCACTGCTCGATAAATGCAATTATATTAACGTATTGTATATTAATAATATTGGAAATAACAGCTATTGGATTTGTTAACATATTATTCGCGTTATTTTATTATTTATGCACGGAGAGAATTTCCTTTTGAAATTTACCCTGAAAATCATGTTAATCGTGGGATAACATAGCACTTCGGCAAATTTTATGATTATGTGATTATTTTCTCTGTTTTTTTACTGTGCACTACAATAAATTTGTTGTAGTACATATTAAAAAAAAAAGTGAAAATCACATAAAATTTGCCGAAATGCTATGTTATCCCATTAACATGATTTCAGGATAAATTTTAAAATAAAATTCTCACCGTGTATATTTATTATTTTTAATATTTCTAATATTTTAATTTCGTTTAAATATATTCTTATTTTTTTTTTCATTATAATTTTTTTATATATTTAAAACTCGACGAGATAAAATCGAGGAAAAAATTGAATTGGAGTCCAATTACCGAGCAATCCGGGAACGAAGCACACGCAGTTGGTCAGCATCGCCCCCTTGACGACGTCCAATTCCGGCAGCACCGCCAGGAACATCAAGGCCAGGCCCATCACGTGAAACGTCTCCATGAGGGAAACCACGAGAAGATGCGCCAACTGCGGCTTCTTCCACGATTTGAAGATGCACATGCGGATGCTGCGTACCAGCGTGCCGAACTCCGGCACCGCGAACGCGATTATAATGCACCATATCCACGCGATCCTCTCCTCCTCGGGCAGCGTCACTATGTACTGATTCTCTCGGTCTGCGGGAAGACACCGCGATAAAACCATTGTTGATGATTACGACTTAGAAATGAAATTGTCGGATATTATAAACATATATTTATTATTCTTTCTCTCTCTCTTCTCCAAAAATCTCTTTTTTGGAGAAATCGTTTATTTAAAACTGATATTATTTCGTTTATAATACACGATCCTTAAGTCAAGTTAAAATTTTCGCCACAGGGTGTACAAAGCATATTCACGTCATAGTTATATTTAACCCCCACCTAATTGCCTGTTGCAGTAGAGGATTTTCCTGTCCTGTCGTAGCTGCGACGTCATGAAGAGAATCGTGCCCTTGGCGACCACGCCGCTTCCCAGCACTATGACGAAAACGAGCAGATAGACGAGGACCTTGATCACCTGCACCATCCTCTCCAGGCATTTCTGGTTTGCCATGGAGCCCGAGTACGAGTCAGTCTTCATTGGCGGATTCCGGAACACGTCCCATCCTTTCGTCTCGACGATCGTGCGTTGGCTACGTTGGAACAATTGATCAAGTTGGTTAACAAGTAAACATTTAATCAACATCATATAAGTTACTTATTTAAATCTTCTCTAGAAAAAACAAGAGAAAGATGTTTATTCTTTTTTTATTTGAATAATCAAATATATAAATCTAAATTTTCTTCAATCGAAATAATCTCCGTCCAATTAATCTTAATAATTCTTATTTTTAATTGTGCGTGTGAATTTTAACTTAATTTAATAATCCATATCTCTCCCTTTTATTCCCTTATATATAGTTTTACTTTCTTTAATTTTATTCCTCTTAGTTTCCGTTTTCATCAAAAACTTTATTTCTTCGCTTAGGTTTTCCCATTTTATTTATTCATACTCTTTCGTCCTTGATGCTTTGGATCCTAGAGAGAAGAAATTATGATAAACGATGACGAAACCGTCATACCTTCCGGCATAGTCCTGAGTCAGAGGAGTGCTTTCACCATCCGAAAAATCATCCGGACCGGTCGCCATGCCGCCTCCCGGTATTATGCCGTTCTGATGTAGGTTCTTGGCCATTCTATAAATTGAATGATACAATTTATCTCAATCTTGTTTCCAACTCTCTTTAAATGAATAATGCAATTGTTATATAATTCAGAATGTTATAAATGTAAATAAGGAGAAGTTTTACGCTGCGAGCCTTTGCGAACTGTATAAGAATCGAGGATCAGATGCGCCAAATCATCAATATCTTAATTAAAATCATAGATCTAAATCATCAATATCCAAGCATCTTAATTAAAGTCACAGATCTAAATCATCAACATCTAAGTATCTTAATTAAAATCATAATAGACTTGAAATTATATTTCTAAATTTATGTAAAATAAATTTAAAGAAATGTACTGAAATATTGAGATTTAGTGCGCAAAATCAATATATGTATATTTTTTCCTCTTTTGGTAAAAAAAATGACTAACAAGCATAAATCAAACTTTCCATCTTCGTAAAAACTGTACAATAAATAATACATCAGTTTCTTATGTCTGAGCCGCACGATTGAGAAATTAAATTAATAATATTCTATAAAACATGAATGCAAGATCAAATTAACAACAAAATAATGCAAACTGATAGTAAAACTCAGTTGAAAACGTTTCCTTCTGACGTCGACCAAACTTTTTATTTTCATCGCGGCTCCTGACTCGTGGTCGGCCTTCAACCTCTCCTATCCTTGAGCTTACGCGCCACGAGAGATCCTTTATTGCCTAACGACAGTCTTATTATTTCGCTTTATTAATCAACGGTGTTTTTCCTTCGCTCGTTCACGCGTTATTAGCCGCGACAACAATCCAGCGCGAACGCTAATTAGTCGCTAAATCCATCGTTAATCAATTCAAGTCGCCGCGCGCGAGCGACCTGAATGATTTTCAGCATACGGTGACCTAACGAACTTGGCGTTTATCGCGGCGTCATCGCGCGCGTTCGCGCAATTATCTCTCCTCAGCATCTGGCACACGATCCCCCGCCCGCCGCAGAATCGCCACGGCCCGGCCCGGCCCGGCCCCGCGGCGGGGGCGCCGCGCCGCAGATCTTTGTTCGGAGCGCGGGCCCGCGATTCGAGCCGCGGGAGAGAGAGAGATCCGGGGTTTCTGGTTCCTGGACTTACGGCTGAAAGTGAAAGGGAAACGAAACGGCCGACGACGACGTGGCAGATAACGTAGCAAGGACGTCCACTGTAACTCGGCGGCTAACGTCGCCGTTCCGCGGCCGTTGCCGCCCCTCGAGGCCGCGCACCGCGGCCGCGGTGTATACCCTCGGAGAGAGACTGTCCCGCGCGTCTCCCCCTCCCCCCTCACCCCCCCCCGTCGTCCTTAAAATCCGTCGGCGCCGCTTGACTAGTTCCTATATGTGCACCCCCTCCTGGTCTTTTCTTTTTCGCGTTCTTTCGTCCCCTTCTCTCGTCTTCTTCTCTTTCTCGTCTTCGTCCTCGCGTTTTTTCGTCTACGTCCTCTCGATAAGGAGACAACGCGATGCGTCCGCGGAATGCGCTTCGCGAGGGAAAGAGCGACCCATGAAACACGAAGTAGGTACTTATTTCAAAACTCGGCTACAATCACGAATAATTAATTAAATTAATCGAATATTCAATAATTGTGCTACATATTTATCGATCAAAATTTTTATGTTGATCTAATATCAGCATTAATATAAATTTAAATTGTTAATTAATTAATTAATTATTAATTATTTTAATTTAAATTTATTCATAGAATATAAATTCAGACGAGAAAATATTTGCTTATCACATTTGACTTTATCACTATTTTAACTTACAATAATATCGGACGTCAACATATTTATAAGTTAAATTTTTTTCACACTTTAACAAGTATCAAGAAAATATACTCTTTCAATTCTGAAGGCTATAATTTCTGACCGAATTTCTTTTTACTTTTCTTTTAGAATTCTCTCCGAGTCGCGTCGAAAAGGTGCGAGGAAGTCGCGTACCGTTAGCTACCAATTCGGAATAATAAGTTTCTGGGACGATGCACGCGATCGGGTGCGACGAACTGTCGTTGCTTGCGAAAGGGAATGCGGTTTGATCGAAGACAGCTGGCAATTGAGAGCTAACGAGTTTCTAATCATCGGTTAGGCCTGCGTGGATTACAAAAGCGTCCAAGGGATGTGTGGTAAACGATCCATCAGGACTAAAAAAGCGGACTTGTCAAGATGACCGGTCCTTTTGTAATAAGCGTAATTCCTTTGTATTATGAGACCCGATTGCGCCAACGTTATTTTGACTTTATGAGCCTTGCTCAAATACAAAGGAACGCTTAATACAAAGGACCGATCTTGACAAGTCCGTTTTTTTTATCCCGATGGATCGTTTATTACACATCCCTAGAGCTCTCTTTTTAAAGAAAGACAGACAGAGTTTTAAGCCTCGCTTAAAATCAAAATAACGTTGGTGCAATTAGATCTTAATAAAGCGTTTATTTAACAAAATATCCAAAATCTCGGTTATTCTTGACAGGTCCGTTTTTTTATCCCGATGGATCGTTTACTATACACAACCTTAGAACTCTCTCTTTCTCTCTCTCTCTGTTTTAAGGTTTTAAAGAAAGACAGACATGAATTTCAAGCCTTAATGAAGCGTTTGTTTAACAAAATATCCAAGATATCGAAAGATTTAAATCAAAAGATTCGATAATAAAGATCCGTTTATTTTTCAGGATGTAACGAATTAAAATAAGATATTCGAAAAGAATAATGAAAAAAAAAATTAGCATTTTCTCGAAGGCGGTTCTCTCAGGAGGATCGCCCGGCAAGCTGAGGGGGGACTTATTTATCTCTCGTCGATCTCCTCCCGTCGAACTTTCGACCGAGGGCAGGATATGCAGCGCGGACTCTGCCACGGGATCGCCAAAGAATTTCGCTTCGCGCGAGCGCGAGCGGTTGTGTGAGTCTGTATGTATATATGTATGCGCCGCGAAGAGAGCCAGAGTTCTCGGAGGAACGCGAGGTCACGAAAGGAACGACCTTGCCACGGAGAGGATATATTTTCGAGAATGAGATTTTAACGCGGCGACGATCGGCAGCCGGATCCAGTTCATCGTCCTCAATCGCTCGATCGTGAACCGAGCGCTCTTTCTTTTTCCTTTTCTTTTCTTTTCTTTTCCCGACCCGTCCGTTTCTCCGCCGGGGAAGGAGGATCCTCTAGCGAGTGTATACGTTCGTACCCACGATTTCTCGTTGATTACGCGTATACACAGGATACACCTATCTAGGATAGAACGTAGATCGGTATCGGTATCGAATATACGTCGGTCGCTCGAGTGATGTGCACTTATCGCTCCCGTGGCGAGAATTCTCTGATCGCGCAATTGCATTTTCTCTTCGTCCCGCGGCGTTTTACTTAGGACTGTGTCTGTAAATTTTGGATTGTATTACATTTGAATTTACTGTAATTTAAATTTGATGTAATTAAAACTCAAATTTATATATAACATAATTATATTACAGCAATCAATCGATTAATTTTCTCTACTTAATTATTTTAGTAAGGTCAAAGTTAAAATTTTTCTCCTTGGTCTATCTATTTAAATTTCTGCATCTCTGTAGATGTGTGTAGATCTTAATTATTGAATTATTAATTGGATCTAATTTGCGCGTTGTGTCATTCTGAGAAGTTGCAACGTTCCAAGTTTCGCGTGGCTTGTGCAAGTATCTATTTTGCGGCAAATTTTTCATTTCCCAGAATCGTATTTTGGTAAATAATGCCAACATAAACGTGGACGTTGCGGCGATACTTAAGATTTAGTCTAATTACTGAGCTAATTTAAGTCATTTAAAGCGTTTTTACTCGAAAAATTTTATACCTCGGCCTTTCTTTGCGGGCGGAAAGATTTCACTTTGCGCAATTGTATTACATCAAAGTTGTTCATAGATGTCATTTAATAATTAAAAATACGTTAACGATTTTTTGATTAACGATACGGATTTAACTAATCGCATTGATTTACTTATCCACATTACGTTTATATGTGTTTCAATTATTATAACATTGCACAATTTGGTTCGTGCGTCACGAGCAAAAAGCTTACCTCGCAATCCGTCGAAAGGCTCGCGATCGAACTCTCGGGCGAGAATTTTTCGCCAAAACGGAGCTCCCCGCGCGTGCCGCGCTATTTTCTAAATTCCCCTCACTGGTACGCAATCGCGGCAACTCCGCTGCAACTCCGCGCGCGAAACTCTCGGCGGCGGCGGCGGCGGCGGCGGTCGTATTATTCCGCCTTATAACGCGCTTACTTTCTCTTCTTCCCTGCGTGTCGCGCCGCCGCGCGCGGCGTAACGGTAACGAAATTCTATTTCTGCGAGAGACCGGAGACATCGCTCCCTTCGCGATACGCGATCGTCTTACAATTAAATCCGCGGAGAACGCGAGCAGGAAGTAAAAAGATAAGCGGGGGGAAACGGCTTTTCCCGCGACGCAATGAGGATCTCTATCGGTCTTATTATCTGCCCGTGTGCTCTTCCGCGTCGCTGCGATTTTCGCGAATCAGGCCGCCTCCGATTCCGGTAACGCCAACGGCAATATCGAAGAAAGCCTTCGTCGCACGCGGAACCGATTGTCTGCCTCTCTCGATAATGTACTATCGCGATAACGTAATCTCTCACTCGAAAAAGAAAAACTAAAAAAAAACAAAAACAGTGGGAAAACTCGGGCGAGGCTTATCGCCGAGAAATCGCTTAACACGCCGATAATCTCGTCTTCCTCGCGTCACTTCCTTAATCCTCGATAGTTAAAGGGATCACGGCGATTCGTTGACAATGACGGTCTCGACAGTCAGTGACGTCACTGAAATTCATCGGGGGTTCGATAAAAAGCTCGATGACGATCGCGAGGAGGCATTTCGTTCGCGCGTGAAGAGAGGCATTTCGCGGCGCTTCCTGGTCGCGCTATCACGGCGTCTTTGTCACCGCGATTATCCGCGCGGCTGCAGTCCCCGCGTGCGGAGTCGGATCGCCGCGGAGATCCGCGGGCGGAGATCGGCGACGGATCACCACGCGCGCAATTGCGCGCGGATCGGCGATAGTGAAAGTAACGGGCGCAAGGTCACGTCGTTCCATAAATATGCAATTATCGTCTCCTCGCGAGAGAGAGAGAGAGAGAGAGAGAGAGAGAGAGAGAGAGATCGCAGCCTCTCGCAATGCGCGCCGCGTCTCTTTCTCTCTCCGTCACGGGGGATTCGCACGACGCCCCCTTACTCATCTCCCGAGACGATCAATGAAGTTCTGGGAGTAAATACGGGATATACGTTTCGACACACGGCGCGTTCTCTCTCGTCCGTTGCACGTTCCCGTTACGGTATGTATCATCCGCAAGAGTCCTTTCGTCATTAATCATCGTGTTTCTTCTGGACCGCGTTCGCTAAATTCTTCGTGTCTTATACCGTTCAAATTGTAAAAGTCTACAAAAATGTCAGAATTTGCGCGTATACATTTCGCCCCGAATGTTAATGATGATAACGATAATTCTTATACGTTTCTTTGTTACATTTCGTTTCTCCCTTTACGTTTCATTATCCTCGAATTCTTTTAGTTTTACTATTTTCTAAAATTCTTATTTTTCTACACTTCTTTCGTCGTCGCATCGCAAGATCTTAAAAACTTTGAAACTTCAATTGATAAATATAAGTTTTGCATTATTTTAATATTAATGATCATAGTAATGATTTTTATTTTATGTTCTCTTACGTCTCATTAAGTTTCAACGATGCTTGATTTCTTTACTATATTTCTTCTACTAGTTATTTAATAAATATAACATTCTTATTTCTCCTCATCTCGTCGTCGCATCACAAGATCCTAACAAGCTCGAAACGTCAATTATAATAAACATAAATTTAACGCTGCACAAATTATTATTAATAATTCTTACTTTACGTTTCATGACGCTCCATTATGTTCCATTATTCTCGACTTCTTTAGATTTACTATTTTTGTACTATTTATTACATTTTTATTTCTCGTCGCAAGATTCTAAAAGTCTCAAAATCTCAATTGTAATAAACAAATTTGTTGTTTTAATATTAATAATTATAATAATGATTTTCGCGTTTCCATTGCACAATTCTCCTGTCATTACGTCTTTATCTCCTGGCACATTCGAGCGCATAAAGTTTCTTAAGATTTTGTATTCCTGGGTAGGTAGCCCACGCGAACGTCGCCGGTATTTTAGTATGTCATAAAATATTCGAGTTATCCCCACCGTACCCACGATTGCCGGATTCTACGTTTTGACGTACACGAAATCCCGAAAGACATTCGGAATTCCCGGGCTTCCCGTATGGAAAACGCGGACGCATAGTTTTCGCGTAACAGCGTAAACGGGGCACGCAACAAAACTACTTTCATTTCTGCTCGCGGCGGCTAATAAGTAGGAAGTTAACCCAGTAAAGCAGTGATTACGACGTAAAGGATCTTGGTTAAATCATAATTCTATATTTTCTAAAGTTCACGGTTTAATCTTAGAATTATCGAGTCTTTAATAATCTTAAGAAATTTTCCTTTTTTTTTTTAAGGCGCATGGAGAATCCTTGAAGGACTTTCGATCCGCCAGAATAGAGAGCCGTGATTATAATATAAGCGATTTTAATTAAATCGCGACTTTCTAAAATACTCTCCGATTAAAATTGATAAAACATGTTGAAGCATCAAAGTAGTTGATGATTTTGAATATTTGAAGTTGCAAGAAATTTTTAAGCCATTGGGAAGAAGATTGTAATTTAGAGAATTTCATTAGAATTACGTAAAAAAAATTTTTAAAAATCAACTTCTGAATGCAATTATCTTCTTCAGAAATACTTTATTATTTATCAGACATATCGAATTCTGACAAATTTGAAATGGAGAGTGTTTATTCAAATTATTTTATGCCCAATAAAATAAATTAGATAAGTTAATATTTTCAAATAATATCACAGTTCAATGTTAACATTTATTAATGTTTAAATATTAAATATTTAATGATATTCCTATTTAATATTTCATGTAATAATAATAATAATAATATTTTAAAGTAAGTAATTTTAAATAAAATTCAGAGTGCTAACTAAAGTACTTCTCCTAAAAAGGGAACTTCGGCTATATTAATGATTAATAAGCAGCAGCTGCTAATTGAGTATTGACGACTCTAGAGTGTTAGTAAACATGAAGCTGGGGGGCTCACTGGGTTGCGGTAATTGTCTGAAAAGACAGAAGGGGAACAATAAGTGATCTCATACCTGCTGATTGGACGACGCGCTTTCTACTGTATCCTTATCCTCGTTATCCTTGCGATGCAGGCGATCATAGTCGACGGATGAAACCGAATGGTTGCATCCGCTTCCTGGATCCACTTCCCCGGGATGCTCGAAGCTCGATCGAGGCTGGTCGTTCCACTGTACTTTCGCACGCTCTCTCTCTCTCTCTCTTTCTCCCTCCCCCCCTCTCTCTCTCCCTCTCTGTCTTCTCCGTCACTTATGCTATATCCGTTTACGGAAGATCGCGAGCAACGTGGTTCTACGAGTGGCACCTGGCACTTCGGACGGCGTGAAAAACTGTCGCGGCGACGACGACGACGAGCGACGGCGGCGGCGAAAGATCGCGCAAGATCTTTCGGGAACGGTCAGGTGAAAGCGGAGTCGAGGTGAACGTCGGCCGAACGACGACTGCCGTGGCATCGTCTACCAAGGTACCGGAGCCGAGTTCTCGAGGAGGGCCTCCCCCCGCCTGATGCCGATCGGCGGCAGAGACTTTCACGAGAGAGTAGGTAGAGAGCGAGAGGCGAGAGCCGAGGCGAAGCAAAAGTGAGAGATTTGAACGCGCGAGGGACGCGGGCTCGCGCGTCCGCCCATCGTTCTCGCCGTCTCGCTGACAGTCGCGATTTTGAAGACATTCAAGTAAATGAAAAAAATCGATAATTGTCACCTTCGCCTTTCCATTCGCCGAAGAGCGACTTTTTCGCGACATGAGGGTCGAATCGTCCGTTTCTTCTCCGTGCAGCGCGAACTCTCGCGCTTGGATTGCTTGGAATGTGGAGCACTGCCTACGGACTGGCAACGCGCCTCGCGATCGTGTAAGATGTTTTGCCGATCCGCGTGGCGTACGATATGCGACAGGTATGCTCCAGAAAGTTTCCGGTAAATGGCGTTTCATTCCGGAGAAATGTGCGGAATGTTATAATTGTTTACGCCTTCATGTTCGCCTTCAAGGTTTCCTTTGCGCAATGACGGTGATGGAAGGTGTTAATTTGTGAAATAGAGCTGGTTTCCCAAAATGGAATTTCTGTAAATCAGAATAGTAAATTGCTATGTAACTTGCTGGAGCACAGGTTTTTATTGTATTTATTATTCTTCCGTATTTATTGTATTTATTATAATGTCGTGACAATCATTTTCATCTTGATATTTGTTAAATATTCGTTTTCTTCTTCTTCGCCGCTTACTTACACATTCTCTAAGGTGTTCAAACTTTCGCGGTAACTAGCGCGAGACACCACCACCGCATTGAGGGTAGCAGCATTAATGCGAAGCTTCAATTCGTGACAACTTCATGCTTGTGATTGATACAAGATCGAAATGTCGCGTAAGTATTAAACACAATTTCCAAGCATACATTTCATAGGAAATTTTTAACTTTTCATATCTCAGAATAATATTATAATAAAGTTTAACCCATTTATTATTATGAGCGATTGTAGTAGCGCATCAATAAAGCGATCTTCATGTATTTTATAGGCCATAGAGGCGTGTAGTGCGACGTATAGTGTTTACATATATTTTACTAACATGGCGGCACTTGAAAACACTTTCAGATAAACATTTCATGTTAGACATTATTTTATTATCGTGATAAATAACGATATGTTAGATAATTAAAAATGATTTAAGGTTCCTGTACACGAGTTAACCGCACAGTAAAAATTAGATCGAGTTCAACTTTTTCTGCACGACAAAAGATACTCTTTCCGAAAAAGCATAATAGATATAAATGATATAATCGTCTTGAAATGCGCATACGATCCGTACATCTGTATTGTGTAATACATTTTGTGGCATAATAACGAATGGGTTAACAATTAAATATATAAATATTATTACTAAACTAACTAGTACTGAAATAAAACTTGATCGTGACACACACACACACACATACACATTGATTATTAATTATTTTTTATCTTTTTTAGAAGATATCGCTAATTGTATTAAGACAGAACAAATAAAGAAGGAAGAAGAGGAGGAACAATTGAATGTTCTCTTGAAGAAGGAGGACAAGGAGAAGGAGGAACAACAGAATGTTTTTGTGAAGAAGGAGAAAGAGGAGGAAGAGGAGGAACAACAGAATTATACTAGAAGAAACAAGAGAAATGATCCAGAACTATTGGAACAAACATTACAGCTACTGCGACAAAACGAAGAGATTCTACAGCAGCTTGAACAGCTGCAGCAGCTTGAACAGCTACAGCAACAACAACTACAGCAGCTGCAACATCTAGAGCAACATCAACTACAGCAGCTGCAACAACCACAGCTGCAACATGAACAGCAGCAACAACAAACTGGTATTATTTATACATATATTATATTTGTTTATTGATTATAAAACACAATATCCCAGGTAGCACGTATTCATTTCAGAAACGTTTCATAACCGACTCTTGAAAAACGTTTCTGATTGGTTAAAATGTCCACTCGAAAAACGTTTAAAGAAACGTTTCTTTCTGATATAAAAAAAAAAAAAAACGTAGAGAAATATAATTGAAATATCAGTTTTTCTCTATCTGTAAAAAAGTTTGCGCATTCGTTCTTTTCAAGCAAACTTTTTCACAGATAGAGAAAGAATGATATTTCGATTATATATTCCTCTACGTTTTTTTCGAGTGGACATTTTAACCACTCAGAAACGTTTTCAAGGTGCTACCTGGGATTATATTTAGTATTTATTTGTAATAAGGTTATAATATACTATTTTTATTTTTTTCAGTAACTCACCGAAGACAATGGCGTGGGAGAAGCCGCGGTCGATGGCATTATTATCGAGGCAGCGGTCGAGACGGCGCTTGGGGCAACGGTCGAGGTGGTCGTCGAGGCGGTCGTCGAGGCGGTCGTCGAGGCGGTCGTCGAGGCGGCACAAATATTTTTATTTATTTATAATAATATCCATAATTTGAATATTATTTGTTAATATCATTAATAACAATATATAATAATTATATGATTTATATAGTATCATAATAATATATAATATAATGATACATACAATAATAATATTATACATATATAATTATGCATAATAAAATTAGTAAAAAATTAATAACGGCTGAATTATTCGGCAAGAGGAATTATAATCTGGAAATTTCAATTGAAATTTCATCTCGATGGTGGAAAGTCGCACTCTCGCGGTCCACGCTGAGATAAGATTTTCATCAAAGTCACCGTGTCTGCAGTCGAAACATTTGTACTCGTGATACGAATCGTCCGCATAAATACATATACATAGTATGTATTCGTACACACGTACGTGCGTATAAAAATTGATTCGCCCTCGTAACTAGGGCATCCACAATACACGCGTGTATCGCGCGTACGTGCGTGTACATGAATAATACGTGTACACACATTTACATCATCGGAATTACACAGGTCACTCTTCGTGCTGTTAAGATATTACGGCACAAAGTGGCAGAATAATAATAATATAATAATAGCGTGTGTACCGTTCGTTGCAAAAATCGACGCTGCGGCGAGCGTATTTTGATCGCTTCAATTGCTTCGATTTAATTACCTCGACGCGGCAATTATGCTGGATCGCCATGCGATCCGACGATATTATTATCCGATTAAGCGTAATGATACGATTTATGCACGCACGTTAGGCGTCTCTCCACAGGAAATTAGAGATCGGCAAATTTTTTGCCGATCGACTCAATCAAGTCTGATTAGCATATCGTCGGCGCTGCCGCAAGAAACAGACGAGCGGATATAATTTCTGGCACGTTAGATCAGGAACACATGAAATGCATAACAGAGTATAAGCATAACATAAGACCGCTAGACCACTGAGAATTTTATGTAAATCAGTATGACGAATTTAGGGATGCTCATTGGTCCAGCGATCTTATGCTATGCTTATGCTCTATGCATTTTATGTGCTCCCGGCCTTAATCGTTATACAAAGGGAGTCTTGCGACTCCCAGCTGTAACAATTGCATTTCGAGAATGAAATAAAATCATCGGATTACAATTAACAGATAAATGTTCGAAGCTGCGACAGCAAGTTAAAGGAAATTAGCTTAACACAAATAGCAATAACACATGGGAAGAACAATTTTATTGGAAGATCTAAATATTTTGCTGGATATAAAGTTGAAAATAATTTTGTTAGAAATTCAAACTGATTGCTAGAATATCAAAACGTTTTACAGAAATGCTCATTATTTTTTAATTTTCAACAAAATTATTTTCAGATCTGTATTTAGTAAAATCGTTCTTTCCGCATTTTTACATTTTAATGATCTCGCAGAATAATTTTATTTTAAGAAATAAATTTTATTGCACATGTAAATTGTCAAAGCAAAATTTATATTTTTACTTGGAAAATCTGTGTTTAAGTCTTCTAACAGGAATATTTTAAATATAAAAATATTTTTTTAGCATATAAATATTTTTAATCATAAAAATTCTACATTAAGATCGACTAAGATCAGTTAATCTCGACTATTTTATTTTTAATAATACTGATAACAATGTACAATATTTCACATATACATGTGTGTGAGAAACCGTAGAGATGCAAATAATGTAAAAAATTAAGTTTTCAAAGCAGAAACTTCCTTATTTTTTCTCATCGAACATCAGTGGCTGGCAGAATCACGCGAGAAGGCGAGGGCGATAGAAAAAAAAAACCTGTATCGACAATGTTCCTTATTAGTTATCACAATATGTGTATGCATTGTACTCGTGTACGCACATGTGCTCGCATCGCGTCACGAAGGAGGTTTAAAGGTGGGATAAATCATAAAGATTAGCGCGCGTCCAAGTTGTAAGTTGAGCGAATTAAGCTGCAGTGTCGTCGCTAATTCTACACATGTATCCGCGACCCATATAGGCTCGTATTCGTACAGTCACGTTTCTGCGGAGAAACTCGGCTGATCTTCAATCCCGTGGACGGTTCAATAGTTTTTCACAGTTTTGCGGTGAATCAGTCAAGAAATTTTGCACGCCAGTCGCAAAATCCGTGACAGTGTGTTAATTTAATTATAAGACCAAGATGGATGAAGAAAAGTGTCAGAAAATGAGAAATAAATACGTAATAAAGCGCAATTAGATTATTTCGTTTCTCAGCGGCTACTAATAAAAAAAATCTTTGACAATAAAATTTTTCTTATCACACATATGTCAGAAGGGATCAGCGGTTTATCAAACTGTTTCACGCTCTTATTATCGTGTATCTCTGCAATAAATAACAAATTAAGATTTCGTTGAGGGAAAGTCCAATCGAAGTTAACTGAAGGGTATGATTTTACAATCTTGTTTGCTTCGGAGAATTCGTCGGAAGTTTCTTAATTTCAATAAATTTTTTTATTCGATAACAAGCAACATAATGTGATAATATATCTTCGAAAAGAGAGAAAATATTGATTCGGGTAGAATCGACTAATAAAAAGTAAAACAATGGAAACATGTGATATGCTAAAAACAAAATTAAAAAGTATTATATAAGGTAAAATTCAGAAATAAAATAGATAGTTATTAAATTGACAAATACAATTATAATAGTATTTTAATTGATAAGTGCATGAAATATATTTCAGTTTCACTTTCGGAAATATTTCCTATTTCAAAATTTCAATTTTTTAACATATAGATCTAGTCTATATGTTAAAATTCGAACAATTAATTATAGAATTTAAGTACACGATTTCGCTGGAAGGTCTAAAAATTTTGCCAGATACAGATCTGAAAATAATTTTGTTGAAAATTCAAACTGATTGCTAAAATATTAAAATTTTTCACAGCAATATCATTTTTGAATGTCTAACAAAATTATTTTGATGGTTCAACAAAATTATTTTCAGTATCCAATAAAATTTTTAGACTCTCTTTTCAACAAAATCGTTCTTTCTGTGTAAAATTATATATTGGCTCGTATCTTAGAAATAAAATAGAAACTAGAAGAAATAAAAATGTAGAGAAGCAAAAAAGTAAACATTTGTTTGCTCGTTTTATAGGCCTTTATTTTTTCTAGTTTCTATTTTATATAATTTAATTTAAAAGTTAAGAAATAAAATAGAAAATTCGTGAATTGACAGATTCAATTATAATAGTACTTTAACTGACAATTATGCATAGAATACATTTTAATTTTCGAAAATATTTTCTGTATTAAATTTCAATTTTTATGACATAATACAGATCGATTTCTATAAAAAGGTGTGTTCAAGTCGATACTCTATCGAATCTATCGAAGTTTATTGTTGTCGCTTTTCGATGCTGATCGAGGTTCTTTTGCTGTGCTTACTTCGCGAACGGCTGTCATTTCATATTTTGACAGTTGTTATGTATAGAGATTGATAATGTAATAGTAATTAGTAATTAGTAAAAAGTAAAAAATATGAAGTAGCACGCGCGTAATGTTAGTGTTAGGAAAAATAATAAACATAAAATTATGTAATTACTCTTATTTACTTATACTCTTATTTACTTATAAATTATGTGTTCAAAAATTTTGTATGTATATATAACACCTGTAAATGCATTTTTTATTTTTCATATACATCAGGCAATTGTGCTGTTTATAAGTTTTTAAAACTGGAACACACAATTAACCATATTATTGTGATATGGACGTTATCGTTATCACGTGTTCCATGTATGCAAAAAATGGAATGTTTGACTTTGCACTCTAATTATTTTAATAACTACCATTTTTAACAAAATTAGGTTTTTGCAAATTATATTCTTATGATTCATGAACATTTATTTATAGTATATATAATAGCCGCGAAAGTAGAAAATGATAAAAAGAAGTACGACGTATATGCGTTGGAACATTGCAATATATAAAACTCGGAGAAAAAATATGTAAAATAATTTAACTTTCTTATTAATCTTTTTATAATTTCTTTAACTTTCTTATTATATTTTAGAAAATTAAAATGTATTCTAAATGTAACGTCAAACCATCAAATTTAAATTGTTGAAGGAAATTTTTAAGGGAACGAGAAAGGATTGAGAAGAAGCGAGATATGGAAGGACGCATGAGTTAGACAGAAGCTCATGGGTACACGCAGAGGCGTGTCCCCATAAAATTACGACGTTTACTAAATTTAGAGATAAAATTTGTTTTTTCTTTGTTTTGGTCAGAGACAATCAGACAGAGATAATTTCTTTCATTAGCCACGTGTTTGAGGTGTTGCGTGTCCTTCCTAATCATCGTCGAGCGACGATGAGTCGTAAAGATTAATCGGTGCGACGCACCGAAAAACAATTAGAGTACATGTGTACGGCCGTCACACATCCATTCCGAGTCATCTATTAGTCGAAGTACACATGTACTCTAGAGGGACTAGATCAGTACGTACTATACTCTATGGTGGGATGATAAGTGCGGATCGAGCCGTTTAGATAGTCTGCGTGCATGGAGCGGTGCACAGTCGAGGCCGGAATCGGAGCAGCTCACACGTCTCGCTGTCAAGCACCGTCGCAGACGTATCGTGTTGTATTCTGAAAAATCCGAAAGAAAATTAAAACAATATACTGCCACTTAAAAAATAATAGCAACGTATAATCGTGCGCGGCGGCGTGGATCGCGAGTGTATCACGATCGGAAGATCTTCGATCGTTTGAGAATCCGAGAGACTCCGGCTCGTCGTCATAAACCGATACCCTGAACCGTATTGCAGCCGACTTTTCTAAGCGGATCGCAAATCGCTCTCAGAACGTGACACGATTGCTCAAAGTGTATAATATTCTCGGAGAAGAGTAATCGTAAACTTTCACGGGCCATCTCCATTTAGTCATGAGTTCTGATGTAGAAACTATAAAGCGTGAAGATTCCGATGTCGCAAACGACCTTCGTGAGAAGGGTAAAAGTGGTAAGTAAACGGCTCGACTAATTATAACACGACAATCCTATAATTTCTGGGACAATTAAATTCCTCTTAAGGAGACTTGAAATGTCACGATAAATATTTTTTTTCCACATTTTCTAGTATTTTCTCTAGTTTCTCTAATCTAAAAAAATCTTGGAAAAATTAAGTTTATTGAATATAAATTACTAACACACATTTTTTAATTTCTAATAATAGAATAATATATATTTATTAAATTTTGAAGAAATTATTTTCTTTCATTGAAATTTATCGAGAAAATATGTCTCGTCATTTATATTATTTGTTTTTCTTTAAATAAATAGTTTCAAGAACAGAAAATAAATAAACAGTAAATAAATAAGATATGTTTATTTGAGAATTAATTTCTTCTGTGCACAGGATTCAATAAACTTATTACTTTATCTTGTGTTTCATGTTTTATACATTATAAACGTATTTATAACACGAATATATTTATGTTCGAATATACGACGAGCTAAATTCTCGTGTATTTACTATGCCATCTCTGTATCTATCGGAGACCTCTCTACCGTGATAACACTTTTGGAAGTTGATAATTGAACGTTGATACGAATATACATCGGTCGTTACGATTTAATAACGTCCATATATTTTGTACGAAAATTTGTTTCTTTATAACTCAAACATTTCGTCACTTTTCCATTAACTGTCTAGCACTATCATCCGAATTAATTTTCCAAAAATTTTCAAATCTCTGATTTAAAGAAATAAAATTAATAAATTTGTGAATTTCAACTCGAAATTTATCTTCCTTTCTAGAAGATCTTAATTTGAAAAAGCAATAATTACAAAATACTGGTAACAAAAGTAAATAAATATTCTTACATATATTTACGTTTTATTATCACTATCATATTTATTATATTAAATAATTATAATAAATGTAATTAAATAATGCAATAATATTGCATGAAGTGAATCTCATATTTTTATCTTTTCAAAGTTAATAATTAACAAATGAAAAAACATAAATTAAAATATGAAAAAAAATAAACCAATAAAAAATTTGAAACTAACGTCAAACAGTCGAGAGCTAAATTCAAAATTTTAAATGACGTTATTATATCACAATTTTCTCTAATTAGAAAATCAGAAGATTTTGTTCTGCAATGAAAAAAGCCAATGACGCGCGCGATGATTGACAAAAAGTTACTTGCACGTGAATATTAAGTTCCCGCGATAAATATAAACACGCACGCCAATTCGATATTTGTTATCACTTTTTTTTATCTATCTACCTATCTGTCTATATATATATGCACTTCTCTTTTCAGCGACCAATGGAACCGTGTTCACGCGTTCGGATGCTTTACGTCAGGCGACTGCCGATGCATTGCGAGAAAGATTCCAGGTGCGAAAAGAATATCGTTGATCTCGACATGATCTGTGATTCGATTAAGCGTCGTCTACAATGAGACTTGAGACTTAAGATTTAAGAATATTGATTCATAGTCGATTATTCATCTCACGTGAAAAGAATAATGGATTGTAATTGGTCAATTTTCTTAAATCTTAAATTTTAAGTCTCATATTGTAGATGACACTTTAATGGAATACAAATTAAAGTAGTTTCGTTAAGTTTATCGCATTAATATCGTGCCGGTTGAAAGAAAAAGCGCGAACATGTCCGAGTGTCCATCGCGCAAAATCTCACACCGAGATAAGATACTGGTTTCGTAAGAGATAAAGTGCTCTCGCGTTATTTATTTATTGAATACATATTTCTTCGCAGGAAGTAAAAAAGAGTTTTCTGAAAAACATTGACACCTGTTTTAACGACGTAATGTCCGAGACGCTGAAGAAGTTAGAGGTACCTACGGCGAAGAATGGGGAATTCTTGTATAACTTGGATAAATATCGTGACAAAAGGTGAGAATTGATCAGAAGAGAGAAAGAGAAAGAGGGAGAGAAAAATGAAACGTATCTACAAAAATATAAAGAGAACAGATAAGGTAGATAAATTTAAAAGGATTTATCGAATATAATACAAATAATATAGACTTTAGAGCCAAGCTAGTTAATATTGCTTAAAATTCTTTAACAATGTTCCGACAATTGCATATATATATTTATAAATAAGAAAATAAAACTATAAGAATAAACGTTTCGACATTTTAACAACAGTTTTCCTCGGAGTCCACAGTGATTATAATTACATAAATTGAACTAATTCGTATTAAATCTCTGAAATGTATCAGCAAAATGATGTATCAGCAAGATGATTGTCCTATATTTGTTGAATTTTATTCTTTGTCTTTTTATTGTGTTATTTAAATTTCTATAATATTTGTATTGTGTTTGATTTATTCAAAAGAAGCCTTTCTATTAATTTTAATTTTTAATTGATTAAAAGGATTTAAAACAGCAAACACAAATTATAACTACAATTGTTGCAGCAACATTATAACATATTTTAGCTATATTGCATAAATGTTGTTGCAATATTGCAGTTATAATCTGTATTTGCTGGTAATATTCGAAAGTGTACACAAGAAATATCAAACACAAAAATTATATATTAAGATAAATAATACTACAATATCGTTATTTAAATCTATTTTTCCCAAAAACGTACCGATAAGTCCAAACGAAATAAAATGTTTACTGTATAATTTTTTCATTTTATCTTGTTTTTATATTAAAAATATTATATTAAAACTATTATACTCAATAATAACGTGTAATATAGTTTTATAATATTGTAAAGCTATGAATTTCCAAAAACATATATGATACTTATCAATTAGAACCAATCGACAACATCGAAATATGATAAATGAATGAATAACTACAATTTCTGAATGCACATTTCTTGCGATTGCTGCAGTATTTCACAGTATATTACCGTTGTATCGCGAGAGCGATTTTTTTTCGTTTATCAATGTAAGAATCTATACGCGCGAAATTCGAATGGAATATTTAATGTACCAATAAAATCAACGAAATATGAAAATTGATTTATATGCTGATTATACTTACATCTTTGATGTTTTGCAGAAAATCCGGCAAGAAAGATATGCTGCCGGATAAGGAGTTTCTCGAAAGAAACTCATTGCTCACCGATCTCTTCGAAATCCCACATATTCGCACGGTTTACAATCTGTTCATGATGACCCTCTTAATCCTGCTTCTTAACACTGTCGCGTCCGATATCATGGAATCAGGAACGTAAGTTTGCAACGCAGAGAACGTAATTTCCCACCTCTCTCCTTGCCCCCTCACCATGCGAAAACGATTTAGCGGAAAAACCAAAATAATGTTTCCTGAAACATATATTTTTAACATTTATAATGCTAGTTAAATAAATATTTTTAATGAAAAAATTTCCAAGTTTAGTTTTTAAGTTTATATTTTAATCTCAAATTTCGAAATTTGAGTCCTTGAATTTTTTAAAATTCTTTGTCTCAAATCGAATTTTTAATAAATATTTTGCGATATCGTGCAACAGAACGTAACTTTATATTATCTCACTAATTAAAACTGTGCATTTCTTATCTCAAGACGAGATTATCAGGTTGAAGTAAACGCAATACATAGTCATATTATTACATCTGGAAACTCGTGACAAAAGATGATAACTAAAAGTACTATATTTAGCCACTTGTGTCAAGTGTGATGAACTCTTGCACTGGAAAATAGAAAAATCTGATTAATTATAATATACTAGAGCACTCGATCAGATTTTAGATGTATTTGTTATTTACGTTTATTTGATTACGCGGACATATTTGTCTCCTGTCATCTACTATCTATATAGTATTTATTGACTAAATTTCTTTTTTTAATTATTAAAGGATCCGGATTGGTACTAATACAATACTGTATAGTTTCGAAAAGTTTTCAACGTGCATCTACATTTGGTTTCTCATGAAAGTTTCGACACTAGGCGTCTACGTGGCTTTCAATCTTTGGGCGTATCTACGACTCCGATTCTTGCCAAAATGTAGGTATATAATCCCTTTAATTTAGTTTTAGATAAATATGCTCAATTTTAACATTAAGAAAGTAAATCGATTTCTCGGACGAGAGTAATTTGAAGTATATATAAGATAAATCTCAATTTTTTTAAAATAATTGTAGTGTAAAAGATAATAATTGATTAAGCAACATAGTGTAAACACAATTAATCCTAATAATCGTAAAAATTGTTAGATAATGTCAACTGATTAAAGCGATTTATATTAGATGATAATTAATTTAAAGTCAAAAGATAAAACACTCGCCCGAATAGCAGGATGATCCTGGCTAAAGTAATATTTTTTTAGCAGTAAGTCATTTTTAAGATCTAATTAGAATTTAAAGAAGCTCATTAGCATCAAATTAATAAATTGCTTTGTCAATTTAACTGTAATTTGTAAATCCGGATTTAGTTTAGAGCTGTATTTCGACCGATAAATATTCGGCGCGCAGTTTGCTTGAACTGACAATTGTAAGAATTACATATAAATATTATTAATCACTAAGATTCGCTTTGATCACGTTGGCATTTTTTCAACTTAATAATTAATTTAATTTAGACAATCTAATCCTGTTTTTCTTTTGTAGCCTTCATTCGAAAATTTTGGGATTACGGCTGGCTATCAGCATTTATATCGTATCAAATCCTATTTATTGTTTTTCCTATCAAAGCGGTGACTGAAACGAAACTTGGCATAGCTTGCAGGTTTATTATTACCTTGGAACAAGTACGTATTTTTAAAAACCTGTATTTATGTACATATATCCTAAATTATGAAAAAAAAAAATTCTTTTGCAAAGTATACGTACGGAAATAAATCATTATTCTCGCACACTATCACGCACGTTCGTTAGTACAAATTGGTGAAATGTGTCAAAAGCTTCCTTTTTTTGGATTTGCAAATTAATATGATCAGTGAATAATGAACTTTATTTCCGCTAGAAATGAAACGCATGCAGATTAACTTCTTCGGTCCGCCGGGTGGTATTAATACTTGTTGACTGAGACAAGTAGATTGCCTTTTGTAATTGTTGACTTTAGTCAACATTTTTTTAGTCAACAGATCGTACCGAAGAGGTTAAATTATACGTGCGTTTAGTAAAAATAAAGGAAGAGTTTTTACTCATTGAAGACATTAACGTATCAATTTGTATTCTAAACAAGTTAGTAGTTAATTATAATTCACATCTGATTATATATACCTAGAATAATTTAGTATCTCGCATGTAATATTAACCCAACATCGATTACAGTAAATTTTGGAGCAAGGATTTTTTTTACTCAAAATGACGTTTGCTTCTTTAGGCACGCATAGTAATGAAGAATCACGCTTTCGTCAGAAGTGCGGCGTCCAGATATTTGTCATACAAACCCCATAGCGAAACTCCGCAGCCGAGTGGCCCTAAGTTCTCGCAATATTTGTATTTCCTCTTCGCACCGACTCTTGTGTACCGCGACGAATATCCCAGGTAAAAATATTTCACATTTTCTTCGAGAGAAACCAGCAATCAGAGCTTCTAATTAGGCGATAAAAGAGGCAACACGATTTAATAATTACATAATTATAAAATTCAATTTGTGTTTTGATAGTACTAGGTCCATACGGCTTAAAAATCTTTGGAAATTTCGAAGAATTTTGTTCTCGAAATCAACAAATAAATTAATATAATCCTTAATTCTCAAATAATATAATTCATTAACACCTTAAATAATAACTTAAAGTTTTAAATACATTATAAATTTAAAATTAATTAGTACTTCCATGTTGTACTAAATAAAATTGATATTTAGAAACTTTAGGAGAGGATCTATTTAAATGAGACTGATTTTCTTAGGACGAAAAAAATCAGGTGGATGATAGTGATTAAGAATTTCATCGAAGTTGGTTTAGCGTTCTTCAATCTCACCTTTATCATGGAACGCGTCATACTACCAATGTACAGAGAGTTCGGCGTACAACCTCTGGAATGGAAGTGGTTTGTCCAGAACTTGATCAACTCTAGCATTCCCAGTGTTCTTTTCTTCATCACCGGACAATACCTTCTAATACACGCGTGGATGAACGCTTGGGCGGAAATGCTGCGGTTCGCCGATCGATTGTTTTACAAGGTGAATACGCGCCTTCAGTAATCTATTAAGTAAAAATTATACGTATTAAGATATATTTTGCAAATATCTTTTACGACTTATATCTGCACTGTACGATAGCTTTAACATAAGCGATATCTTTAATATACGCGACAGTTTTGTATACGCGATGATTTAAATATATACGTAACAACTTTATTATGTGCCATATAGCTTTTACATATACATGATTATAGCTTCTCCAAAATTTCCGGGAAATATGAATTACTGTACGAAGTACCTTAGGTTACACTTTTACTTCAAAATCGACACAAAAACTCATTTACACGTTAATTTTGTGGAAAAATGTATAGTTACGGGACAGACGTTTCCCTCACGCGAGAAAGAATTCACGATATCTTACAACTCCGGCCAATTCCAATAACTTTCAGAAGCTATTGTGAATTGTCAATTTGTGAACTGTAACTTCATTAATTATTATGTCGCTTGTATTATACAGGACTGGTGGAACTCCACGACTTATCACGCGTATTACCGCACGTGGAACGAAGTGGTGCACGGCTGGTTGTACACGTACATCTACAAGGACATGTACGAGATCGTGATGCCGCGTAACCGGGTGCTGGCAGCCGCCGCCGTATTCGTCGTTTCCGCAATCGCCCATGAGTATATAATCGCGTTCGGAGTCGGGTTCTTCTACCCGGTGTTGTTCGTCTTGTTCGGCATCATAGGCTTCCCCATGTTCTTTGTCCGCAAGATCATCAACAATAACATCTTTATATGGCTGAGCCTGACCGTTGGTCAGGGCATCCTGTTCAATCTGTACTCGATGGAGTGTTACGCCCGACAAAACTGTCCATCTCATTCCAATTACTATCTGGACCTGTTCATACCGCGAAGCTGGAGCTGTCAAGAGAAATTTAACGTTTAATCCTTTCGTGAACGCGTTAACGTGTTTGTGGCAAAATCTTCGTGGAACGATGTATTATTTCCTGTGCTCCGTAATCGGAGCACTATTTGAGGACTGTTATGTACGAGTATACAACCAGTTTAACATTAAACTGGAATAGAGCGAAAAATAACTCGTTGACATAAAAAATCGTAACAATAAAAAGACTAATGAGAGGGTCCAGACGTAATTGTTAGTGAATTGTGATAATTCACTAGCAATAATAATAATAGTGATAGTTTGTTTATAGAATTGCACGATCTCAATTTCTTTTTTAATTAATTTTTAATTGCTGCAACTTTTTTTGTATTGATAAGCATTCGAAATCGATGAAACTGCTTTTTGCATTTTTCCTGCAAAAAATACCTACCGTTATCATAATCAATGATCCTTTTGACGATTTTCAAATTACATCATAAAAGACGACGTTAATAAAATCGCTCTATCACGTTTCCCACGTTAAAAATTATTAACTTTACGATCGAAAACCGTAAAAAATCTCAGTCCAACTTGTTTTTTCGAAGATGTGTTACACAGTGATCTGTTCGTTTATTGTTTATTTATTATTTCAGATTTTTCGTACCATTCAGTAAGAAGACTTCCGAGCTTCGTTACTCTTTTATTTGAGATTTCATTGAAATTACGATTAAATAATTCTCACAGAACAGTTAAAAAGGAAAACAGTGTTTATAAAAAATATATTAGTCTTCTGTAATAAACGTAATATAAAATAAAAGATTAGAATAATTCAATTAAGATCTAAACTAGATTGAAGCATTGTGCGCAATACTTCATACTCGATAATTATTTTATCGAATATAAAATAGCATTACGCACAAAGTTTCTAATCTAATGTAGATCTTAATCAATGGAAGCTCAATCTATATGCTGAAAACACATGGTGTACGTGTCGCGAGCGCCCGGAAGTCATCTTAAGAGATAACGACGACAATCGAATTTCTAATTAATTATAATATTAAATTAATTGTATATAAATCGGAATGACGTTATTAAAGATGCAATACACGAGAGTTTATACAAAAAGGGATAATTTTTATTTTTTATTAATTGAAGCTTTACATACGCCTTCTAATTTCCGCATAGCAATGAAAAAAAGTCATACGTATATCTCCCTTCCTATACTAATTAATTTATGTCATATAGCCAATACACATGTAAAATCCTCTTTTCATAATTTATATAATTATGCCTTTTTTTACGTTATAATATATATATATATATACATATATTTACATAATTCTTTCTTTTTTCTTCCTTTCCCCTTCTTGTACGAAATTCAACGATGAAAAAAAATATAGGAGCCGAGCACACGTCCACGCGTACATATAATATATAATTCATTGACTTCCCTAACTTTATACGATTTTTGATTTACGTTTTCCCGATTCCGATGCTGCGACGAAGCTACTTGCCTCTTCATCCGCAAAAATATACAACGAGAATTGCCTTGCCAAAAATCTCTCCCCCCTTTCTCTCTCTCTCTCTCTCTCTCTCTCTCTCTCTCTCTCTCTCTCTCTCTTTCTCTCACTGTCTTTCCTCATCACTCCGTCATTTATTCTTTTTCTCCTTTTTTTACTAGATCGAAAAATAAAGGGGAGTGACCATTATCTTATTTACGGGTACATATCTTATTTATAAATAAAACTACATTTGTAGCTATATCTGCGTTCGTTCGCTCAGGCAGTCGCGTAAAGTCGGTTCTACATTAGTTGCAAGCCGATCGCAAGCTTGTTGCGACAGCCAATCCAAAGATTTCAATCCATTGATTTCAAAATGCAAGCTTCAGATTGGCTGTCGCAACAAGCTTGCAATCGGCTTGCAACTAATGTAGAATCGGCTTAATACGTAGCGATGCAATACGATTAACGATCTTGAAAGCTACAGGTCGGATTTCCAAGTCGATCCTCCATTCCAACCTTTGCTAACGGAGCTATCTCTCTTTCTAAACTTTCTCTTTAATTTAACTCACTTCGTGACAGAGTCGAAGAGCGAAAAGACATTTCAATTGTAAACATGCTATCAGAATAACAAACCGGGACCGAAAGGGAAATCTTGAAAGAGAGGAAATGTTCATCCCGCTAAATGTTAAAGCAAAGAAAATCGCCGATACATGTATATAATACGTACGATTGTTCAACGTGATCTTCAACTTCCTTCAACAACGTGAAGAATCCTAGAAGTCGAACCTGATCTATCGAATCTTCGCACACTCTTGTCAGGGAGAAAAAATATGCAACGAAAACAATTAATGATATGATTTAATTGATCCGCGCACGTTACGCGCTTCTCGAGGAAAACAAATTTTTTGCCAATGCAATCGATCAACCCATTAGCATATCGTCGGCGTTTCCGCAAGAAATAGATAAGCGGAGATAATTCCTCGCGTGTTAATCGTTATACAATCTCTCGCAACTACTGACATGTAAAAATTGCGCTTCGAGAATAAAATAAAACCATCGAATTACAACTGATTGCAGATAAGTAAATATTCGAAGCGGGACAGCATGTGTTAATTAAAGAAAATTAACTTTGTACTAGTAACAATGATTCACGGAAAGAACGATTTTGTTTTGATAGGTCTAAAAATGTTGACTGATATTACCGATTTTACTGATCATACAGGTCATTTGCGACTGGCTGTAAAAGTAAAGGTTTACCAGATATTTTTTTTATCACACATATGCCAGATGAGATCAGCGGTTTATCGAGTGCGTTTCATTTATTATCGTGTATCTCTAAAATTAAATAACAAATTAAGATTCGTTGATAAAAAGTTCGCTCGAACTTAACTGAAGGATATGATTTTGGAATATTGTTTGCCTCAGAGAACTTGTTGGAAGTTTCAATAAATTTACTATTCGACGAAAATAAGCGACATAATATGATAATATATCTTCGCAAAGAGAGAAAATATTAACTCGACTGATGAAAAATAAAACACTAAAAAAACATGATATTTTAAAAACAAAATTAAAACAGTATTATAAAGTAAAATTCAGAAATAAAATAGATAATAATTAAATTGAAAATAATAATACAATTATAACAGTATTTTAATTAATAAGTGCATAAAATATATTTCAGTTTCACTTTTGGGATTATTTTCTATTTCACATTTCAATTTTTTAACATATAGATTCTAAAAAATTGTAGAATTTAAGTAAAATTGTGTATTATCTTGCATTTTAGAAATAAAATAAAAAATAGAGGAAATAAAGATGAGCAAATAAAGGAGTAAACATTTTTGTTTGCTCGTTTTACCAGCCCTTATACCCTCTAATTTCTATTTTATAGACTGTAAATTTAATTTAATATTTAAAAAATGAAATAGAAAATTTTGTGAATTAACGGTTACAATTATGAAAATATTTTAACTGACAAATATGCATAGAATATATTTTAATTTTTATTTTAAACTTAGATTTTTATGACATATAGATATTTCTAAAAGTTATAAAATTTAAAATTTATTCAAAACTATGAAGTTTGCTAAATTTAAAGATAAACAATTTTTTTCTGTTTTGCTCAGGAAGAATCAGAAATCGTTTCTTTTATCCTTAATAAACTCGAGCATTGATAAGTCGGAAAGAAAATTAATCGGTACGATGCACCCGAGGATGCACCGAAGAACAATTGGCATACGTAGCGGCCGTCACCCGTACATTCCGAGGATCTATCAGTCAAAGTACACATGTACTCTGAGAGACGAGATCAGTACGTACTGTACTCATGCTGGATGATAAGCGCGGATCGAGTCGTTTAGATATAGTCTGCGTGCACGGAACGGTGCGTGCATAATCGAGGCCGGAATCGAGCAGCTCACACACCTCGCTACCAAGCACTGTCGCAGATGTACCGTATTGCTATACTCTAAGAAATCCGAAAGAAAATTAAAACAATATATTGTCAATTAAAAAATAATAGCAGCGTACATCTTGCGCGGTGGCGTGGATCGCGGGTGTACCACGATCGGAAGATCTTCGATCGTTTGAAAGTACGAGAGACTCCGGTTCGTCTTCATAAACCGTACATTGAGCCGTTGTAGTCGGCTTTTCTAAGCGGATTGCAAATCGCTCAGAGTGTGACACGATTGCAGCTCAAAGTCAAATTGCTCAAAGTGTAATATTCTCGAAGAGGAAGAATCGTAAGCGGGCCATCCCCGTTTAGTCATGAATTCTGAAGTAGAAACGACAAATCCGCAGAATGAAGATTCCGATGTCGCAAGCGATCTTCGCGAAAAAGGTAAAAGTGGTAAGTAAATGGCTCGACCGATCTTAAGACGACAATTTTATAATTTCTGAGATAATTAAATTCTATGATAAATTTCTCTTAAAGAAACCTAAAGTGTCACAATAAATACTTTTTTTCACATTTCCTAGCTTTTTTTCCAATTTTTCTAATTTAGAAAAATCTTGGAAAAATCAAGAAATTTAAATAAAATTAAACTTCTATTTAAGACATGCAAATACAAATAAATATATATTTAATTAATATATTTTTAATTTTTTTATGCTAATATTTATTAAAACTGAATTATATTTTAATAAAAGAAGTAACGTTGAGGCTCTTATAAAACAAATTCAAATTTCAATTAAGAGAGAGTTAGTGAGCCAAGCTAGTGCTAATGTATATATTAAATAAAATAACAAATAAATATAAACATAAAACCACCATAATATAACAAATATTTTGATCCTTAAATAAGCGGTTATCTTCAGTGTTACTCAAACGCAATAAACAAAATAATTATAGTAACCGCAAACTTAGGTCCTGATGTAATGCTCAAGCAGTAGCTTGGCTCACTAGCCTTTTCTCTAATTATATTTATTAACATACATTTATTAATTTCTAGTGTTAGATTAATATATACTTATAAAATTTTGGAGAAATTATTTTCTTTTATTGAAATTTATCGAGATAACGTGTCTCGTCATTTATATTATTTGTTTTTCTTTAAATAATTAGTTTCAAGAATATTTACGTGCGAAGTAACTTTTTGTCAATCATTACGCTCACCATCGACTTTTTCCACTGCAGAACGAAATCTTCAAATTATTATTATCTATATATGTATATACATATATATATGCACTTTTCTTTTCAGCGGTCAACGAAAACACATTCACGGATGTTTTACGTGAGGCGACCGCCGATGTATTAAAAAAAAAAATTCAGGTACTAAAAGAACACCGCTGACTTCGGCTTGATTTATGATTCGACTTAATGAAAAGCAAATTAAGGTGGTTTTATCGAGCAAGTTCCAGTCAAAAGTTATTAGATGTCATATGACTAATAATTTAATAAAAACAAGCGTAATTCAATAAAAACATTTTGCATAGACTGTATGCAATTGTGTAACGTTTATGTGATAACGTGACACTATCGAGTTGGCATTGAGCGATAAAACCACCTTAAAATAGTTTCTTTAAGTTTATCGACCTGGTAATGTCGTACTGGTTGAAATACGTATTTTTTTGCAGGAAATAAAAGAGGATGTTCTGGGGCATGTTAACGGCCGTATTAACGACATGATGTTAGAGATTCAGAAGAAGATAGAAGTACCTATCGCTAAAAATGGGGAATTTTTGTACAGTTCGAATAAATATCGTGACAAAAGGTGAGAAATTATCAGAACAGAAGAGAGAGAGAGAGAGAGAGAGAGAGAGAGAGAGAGAGAAATATTCCTGAGTGCGCATTTCTTGCGATTACTGCAGTATTTCACAATCATTGTGCATTACCGTCGTATCGTGTCGCGAGAACACATTTTTTTATCTATCAATTTTTATCTATCATGAGAATACGTGCGAATTTAGAGAACTTGTAATGTATCATTAAAATGTATGATGTTGACGTACTTACATCTCTGATGTTCCTGCAGGGAATCCACCAAGAGTGACACGCTGGGGGATAAGGAGTTCCTCGAAAGAAACTCATTATTCACCGATCTTTTCAGTATCTCACACATTCGCACGGTATACAATCTATTCATGGTAATCTTCATAATCTTGCTTTCTAACACTGTCGCATCGGATATCACGGAATCAGGAACGTAAGTTTACGTGGGAAACGTTACTTCCCGCTTCTTCCCTTGCCGCCAATTCCACCGCAAAGACATTGATTTAGGTATTCTACGGAAAAAACCAAAATAATGTTTCGTTAAATACAATATATATTTTTAACACTCAACATTTAACAGTTAATTAAATGTCTTTAATGAAAAAACTTGTTTAGTTTCCTAAATTCTTGAATAACTGTATAGTCTCAAATTACGAAACTTGATTCTTTAAATTCTTAAATTTTTAGTTTCAAATTTTTAATAGATATTTTGCGATATCGTGCAACAGATCAAACGTAACTTATTATATTGTCTCACTAATCAAAACTGTGCACTTCTTATCTCAAGTGAGATGGAATTATCGGAGTTGAAGTAAATGACATTTTATCTAAAAACTCATGACAAAAAAAACGATAACTAAAATATTTACGCACTTGTGCCAAGTGCGACAAACTCCTGTATTGAAAAATAGAAAAATCTAATTAATTATAATATATCAAATAACTCAGTCAGATTTTGGATATATTTATTATTTACACGGACATATTTGTCATCTGTCAACTACGCTCTTACCGCCTAAATTTCCTTTTATAATTATTGTTGAAGGATCCGCGTTGGTACCGATACAATACTGATGTGTTTCGAAAAGTTTCCAACGTGCATGTACATTTGGTCCCTCATGCAAACTTCGACACTGGGTGTCTACGTGGGTTTCATCTTATGGGCGTACCAGCGACTCCGATTCTTGCCAAAATGTATATAATCCCTTCAATTCAGTCTTAGATAAATGTGCTCAATTTAAACATTAAGGAAGTAAAAGTCGATTTTTCGGACGAGAATAATTTGAAATAAGTATATAATAAGTAAGATAAAATTTCAATTTTTAAAAAATAATTGTAGTGTAAAAGATAATGATTGATTAAGCAACATAGTGTAAAAATAATTAATCAAAATAATCGTAAAAATTGTTAGACAATAAGATGACCTATCCTGTTTTTCTTTTTGCAGCCTTCATCCGAAAATTTTGGGATTACGGCTGGTTATCAGCATTTATATCGTATCAAATTCTTTTTATAGTCTTTCCTGCCAAAGCGGTGCTTGATACGAATCTTGGCATAGGTTGCAAGCTTATTGTTACCATGGAACAAGTACGTATTTTTAAAAACCTGTATTTATGTACATATATCGTCCTAAATTATAAAAAAAAATAAATTCTTTTGCAAAGTATACGTACGGAAATAAATCATTATTCTCGCACGTTCGATAGTACAAATTGGTGAAATATGTCAAAAGTTTCCTTTTTTTGGATTTGCAAATTAATATGATCAGTAAATAATAAACTTTATTTCCGCTAAAAATGAAACGCATGCAGATTAATTTCTTCGATCCGCTGGGTAGTATTAATACTTGTTGACTGAGACAAGTAGTATGCCTTTTGTAATTGCTGACTTTAGTCAACATTTTTTGTCAATAGATCGTACCAAAGAGATTAAATTATACGTGCGTTTATAAAAAATAAGAAAAATAAGAAAAGAGTTTTTATTCATTGAAGACATTAACGTATCAATTTGTATCTAAATAAGTTAGTATTTAATTATAATTCACATCAAATTATATAGAATAATTTAATTTTTCGCATGTAATATTGATCCATCATGAACTACAGTAACTTTTGGAGCAAGGATTTTTTTCTACTCGAAATGACGTTTGCCTCTTTAGATACGTATGATAATGAAGAGTTACGCTTTCGTCAGAAGCGCGGCGTCCAGATTTTTGTCGTACAAACCCCATAGCGAAACTCCGCAGCCGAGTGGCCCTAAGTTCTCGCAATTTTTGTATTTCCTGTTCGCACCGACTCTTGTGTACCGCGACGAATATCCCAGGTAAAAATATTTCGCAATTTCTTCGGAAGAAATCAGCAATCTGAGCTTTTAATTAGGTAATAAAGGAGACAACATGATTTAACTACATAATTATGAAATTGAATTTGTATTTTAATGGTACTAAATCCATACGGCTTAAGAAACTTTGCAGAAAACTTCGGAGGATTTTGTTTGCAAAATGTACAAACAAAGTGTCCTTAATTCTCAAATAATGTAATTTGATGACACCTTAAATAATAGCTTAAAGTTTTTAATTTATTATAATATTTAAAATTTATTTGTGCTGCCATGTTGTACTAAGTAAAATTGATATTAAGGGACTTTAGAAGAGGACCAATTTAAGCAAGATTGATTTCCTTAGAACCAAGAGAATCAGGTGGATGGTGGTGATTCAGAATTTTATCGAAGTCGGTCTAGCGTTATTCAATCTCACCTTTATCATGGAATGCCTTGTACTACCGGTCTACAGCGTGTCCGAAATACAGCCTCTGGAACGAAAGTGGTTTGTCAAGAACATAATCAACTCTAGTATCCCCGCTATTCTGTTCTTCTTCACCGGACATTATCTCCTGCTGCACGCGTGGATGAACGCTTGGGCGGAAATGCTGCGGTTCGCCGATCGATTGTTTTACAAGGTGGATATACGCGCATTCAGTAATCTATCCCGTAAAAACTATATAATATATATAATTATATATTATAGGAAATATGCAAATATCTTTTACGAGTTATATAGCACTGTACGATATCTTTAATATTCGCGACAGCTTTATATACGCGATAATTTAAATATACGTAATAGCTTCAATGTAACAACTTTACGCCATAGCTTTTATATACATGATTATATAGCTTCTCCAAAAGTTTTTCAGAAAATATGAATCATTATATAAGTCTCTTACATTTTGAAGTTTTAAAATCGACCAGAAAACTCGTTTACATGATAATTTCATGAGAGGTGTATATGTATACATATACAGCTACGGGATAGATATTTCTCTTACACAAGAGAGTTCACGATATCGTACAATTCCAGACAATTCCAATAGCTTTCAGAAGAAGATATTATGAATTATTAATTTGTACTGTAGCTTCATGAATTATTGTGTCGCTTGTATCATACAGGACTGGTGGAACTCCACGACTTACCACACGTATTACCGCACGTGGAACGTAGTGGTGCACGACTGGCTGTACACGTACATCTACAAGGACATGTACGAGATCGTGGTGCCGCATACCCGGGTGCTGGCAGCCACTGCCGTATTCCTCACCTCCGCCATCGTCCATGAGTATATAATCTCGTTCGCATTCGGCTTCTTCTACCCGGTGATGTTCGTCTTGTTCATCGTCATAGGCTTCCCAATGTTCTTTATTCGCAAGATCGTCACCAGCAACCTTCTTATGTGGCTGACCTGGAGCATAGGCAACAGCATCATGTTCTGTCTGTACCCGATAGAGTTTTACGCCCGGATCAACTGTCCACCTCATTCCAATTACTATTTTGACCTATTCATACCGCGAAGCTGGAGTTGTCAAGAGAAATTTAACGATCTGATCGTTCCGTGAACGCGTTGATGATAAAATCTTCGTAGGACGATGTATTTCCTGTGCTCTGGAATCAGAGTATTCGAGATATTATATATTGTTATGTACGAGTTTGTATAACCAATTTAGCATTAAACTGTAATAGAGCAAAGTAATTAGCAATTAAATTTGAAAAATTTGTTAAACATAAAAAATCGTGATAGCGAGAAGACCATTGGGGGTCCAGACGTAATTGTTAGTGAATTGTGATAGTTCATTAATACTAATGATAATAGTGGCAATTTGTTTACGGAATTGCACTGTCTTAATTTCTTTTTTAATTCATTTTTGAATAATTGCAACTATCATTCTATATTGATAAAAATTCGAAATCAACGAAAATGTTTTTTTGCATTTTTCCTGCAAAAAAGAATCTATCTGTATTATAATTAATAACGTACCCTTTTGACGATTTTTAAATTATACTATACAAAAACAACTTAATAATATCGCTCTATCACGTTTCTCAGTGAAAATTGTTAACTTTACGATCGAAAACCTGAGTCCAAGTTGTACTCAGTAAAAAACTCAGTCCAACTTGTTTTTTTTTTATGTTACACTGTGATCGGCCGTCAATATAGCGTTGGCATCTCTGCAAGAAACAAATGACGAGATAATTCCTCGCGTGTTAATTATTATACAATCTCTTGCGTATTCTAACATGTAAAAATTACGCTTCAAAAATGGAATAAAATCTTCATAGGAGCAATAGTCCACGAACGAAAAGAACGATTTAGTTTTGAAAAGTCTAAAAATTTTGACTAATATTACCGTTGTTATTAATACAGATCTGAAAATAATTTTGTTGGAAATTCAAAGTGGTTGCTAGAATATCAAAAAATTTTACAGAAATGATCATTTTTAAATCTTTGACAAAATTATTTTGATAGTCTAATAAAATTATTTCCAGATCTGTGTCCAGCAAAATCGTTCTTTCCGTGCATTTTTACATTTTAACGATCTCGCAGAATAATTTTATTTTTAGAAATAAATTTTATTGTACACGTAAATTGTCGAAGCAAAAGTTATATTTCTACTTGGAAAATCTGTGTTAAAGGTTCTGTCGGCTTCTAATAAGAATATTTTAAATATTTCTTTTAGCATGTAATAATTATTTATAATATAGAATTTATAAGAATTCTATGTACATCAGTTAATCTCGGCTATTTTATTTTTATTAATACTAATAACAATGTACAATATTTCACATATAAATGTGTGTGAGAACCGTAGAGATACGAATGTGTAACAAATAGTTTTCAAAGCAGAAACTTCCTTATTCCCTCTCGTCAAACGTCAGTGACTGGCAAAATCATGTGAGAAGACGAAGGGAATAGAAAAGAAGACAAGTATCGACAATGTTCCTTATCGCTTATCGCAATATGCGTATACACCCAAGTACGCACACATGTTTGCATCGCGCCACGAAGGAGGTTTAAAGGTCGGGTAAAACATTAGCTCGCGGTTCGTCCGAGTTGTAAGTTGGGCGAATCTGCGTCATCGCTAATCCTACACACGTATATAAATCCGCGACACATATAGACTCGTATTCTTCCGCATTTCATCCAAGAAACTCGTTTGACCCTCAGTTTCGAAATGTAGACGGTACAACAGTTTTTCACGATTTTACGACGAATCAGCCGAAACATTTTGCGCGCAAGTCGCAAAATCCGTGATGGCGTGTTAATTTAATTATAAGACAGAGACGAATAAAGAAAAATGTTAGGATATGAGAAGTAAATATGTAATATGCGTATTAGATTATCTCCCAGCAACTAATAAAAAAAGTCTTTAATGACGATATTTTTCTTATCACACAGATGTCAGAAGAGATCAGTGGTTTATCGAGCCGTTTCACGCTATTATTATCTATCTCAGCAATTAAATAACAAAATAACATTCCGTTAATGTAAAGTCCGCTCAAAGTTAACTAAATATGATTTTGCAATGTTGTTTGTCTCAGAGAACTCGTTTTGGAAGTTTCTTAGTTTCAATAAATTTACTATTCGATGAAAATAAGCGACATAATGTGATAATATATCTTCGCAAAGAGAGAAAATATTAACAGTGTAGAATCAACTGATGAAAAATAAAGCAATGGAAAAACGTAATATTCTAAAAACAAAATTAAAAAAGTATTATAAAGTAAAATTCAGAAATAACATAAATAATTATTGATATGACAAATACAATTATAATAGTATTTTAATTGATAGGTGCATGAAATGTATTTCACTTTCGGAAATATTTTCTATCTCAAATTTCAATTCTTTAACATATAGATTCTAAAAAATTATAGAATTAAAGTAAAATTGTATATCGGATAGTATTTTAGAAATAAAATAAAAACTAGAAAAAATATAGACGGGCAAACAAAAAAGGAAACATTTTTGTTTGCTCGTTTTATTGGCCTTTATTTTTTCTAATTTCCATTTTAAAGACTTTAATTTTAATTCAAAATTTAAGAAATAAAATAGGAAATTTTGTGAATTGATAGTTACAATTATGAAAGCATTTTAACTGACAAATATGCATAGAATGTACTATAATTTTTAAAAATACTTTCTATTTAAATTTTGATTTTTATGACATATAGATGTATCTAAAAATATATATATAATTTTTTTTTTAACTATGAAGTTTGCTAAATTTAACAATAAAATTTGTTTTTCTAGATCAGAGACAATCGAACAGAGATAATTTTTGTTTTTATTAGCAAATGTTGCGTGTCCTTCCTAAAGCTTCATCTACATAAATCGCAAACGCACAACGCAAACGCGAAGAACAAAAAAGAAAGGAAGTAAAAAAAAATAGAGAGAAACGTCCGCGTTTGCGTTTGCGTTTTGCGTTTGCGACCTTTGTAGTGGGGCTTAAATTAGAGCGATGACGAGTCGCAAAGATTAATCGGTGCGATGCAAAATAAACATTGGTGTATGTTCATATGTACGGCCGTCATACCACGATCTATCAGTCAAAGTACACATGTACTCTGGAGGAACTATCAGGATGTATTCATTGTGAGATGATAATCGGATCGAACCGTTTAGATAGTTTGCGTGCACGGAGCGGTGCGTATAGTCAGGGCCTGGATAGAGCAGCTCACACACCTCGCTGCCAAGCACTGACGCAAAAGTATTGTTGTATTCTGAGAAATCCGAAAGAAAATTAAAGCAATATATTACCAATTAAAAAATAATAGCAGCGTATCTTGCGTGGCGTGGATCGTGAATGTATCACGTTCGGGAAATCTTTGATCGTTTGAAAGTACGAGAGATTTCGGTTCGTCTTCGTAAATGGTTGAGCAGTTTTAGTCTACTTTTCTAGAAGGATCACAAATTAGAACGTAATAAAATTGCTCAAAGTGAAATATTCTCGAAGAGGAGTAATCGTAAGCTTTACGGTCCACCCTCTTTTAGTCATGAATTCTGAAATAGAAACTACAAATCGTGAAGATTCCGATGTTGCACGCGACCTTCGCGAAAAGGGTAAAAGTGGTAAGTAAATAGCTTGACTGATCGTAAAACGACAATCCTATAATTTTTAAGATAATGAAATTTTATGATATGATAATTAAATTCTTTTTAAAGAAACTTCAAATATTGCGATAAATACTTTTCTTGCACATTACCTTGCATTTTCCCTAGTTTTTCTAATCTAGAAAAATCTTGGAAAAATTAATAAATTTAAATAAAACTTTAAATAAAATTAAACTTTTATTTAAAAAAAGAATAAAATAGATTTTTAATTTTTTTATGTTAATATTTATCAAAACTCAATTACATTTTAATAAAAAAGTAATGTAAGACTCTTAGAAAACAAATTCAAATTTCTATTAAAGATAGGGCTAGTGAGCCAAGCTAGATATTCGTGCTAAAGTATATATTAAATAAAATAACAAATAAATATAAACATAAATCCGCTATATAACAAATGTTTCGATCATTGAATAAGTGGACATTTTCAGTGTTATTCAAACGCAATAAACAAAACAATTAAAGAAATCGCAAACTTAGGTCCTATAATGCTCAAGCACTAGCTAGGCTCACTAGACCTTTCTCTAATTATATTTAACATATAGAATTATTAATTTCTAATATTAGATTCATATGTATTTATAATGAATGTTGGAGAAATTAATTTTCTTCATTGAAATTTCGAGAAAATATGTCATTTATATTATTGGTTTTTCTATAAATAAATAGTTTCAAGAGCATTCACGTGCAGAGTAATTTGTTGTCAATCATCGTGCTAAACATTGACTTTTTTCTTTGCAAAATAAAATCTTACGATTATAATCTATCTATACATATACACACTTCTCTTTTCAGCGGCCAACGGAAACGCATTGACGGATGTTTTACGTGAGGCGACCGCCGATGTACTGCAAAAAAGAACCCAGGTGCGAAAAGAATATTGCTGACCTCGACTTGATTCGTGATTCGACTTAATAGAATTCGAACTAAAGTAGTTAAGTTTATTCAACTAATATCGTGCTGCTTGAAAGATAAAGCGCAAACGTATTTGAATGCCCATCGCACGGAAGTTCAAACCGATAAGATACTGGTTTCATAAGAGATAAAATATTACTTTCGTTGTATTATTTATTTGTTTAAAACGTATTGCTTTGCAGGAAATAACAGAGGATAATACCGTTTTGAGGAACGTTAACAGCCGTATTAATGACATTCCGACCGAGATTCAGAAGAAGATAGAAATATCTACGACGAAGAATGGGGATTTCTTAGACAGCTCGGATAAATATCGTGACAAAAGGTGAGAATTTATCAGAAAACAGAGAGAGAGAGAGAGAGAGAGAAAGAGAGAGAGCAGAAAATGCAACGTATCTTCTAAAATACAAAGAGCACAGATAAGATAAACAGATTTAAATGGATTTATCGAATATAATACAAATAATATAAAT